TACCTCAAATGTTAACTCAAATTATATTTACTATATAGATTTTTCTTTGAAAAAGATTATTTTTATGTATTATAATTATAGTTTGGATTAAATTAAATTTAATAAAAATAATTATAAATAGAAATGAAAAATTATAAATAATGTATAATAGATGTTTAATTCATTAAAATATTCGATTTTATATTAAGAATAATTAATAAAGTATGATATTTAAAGACTTTTATTCTTTAAATGAAACTTTATATGCTTTATTTTTAATTTTAAGAATTTTAAATCTTTTCGACAAGGAAATAAAAACTCTTAAAGTTTTAAATATTTTATATATATTTCTTTATAACCTATTTAAAATAAATTAGCTTTTGAAAATATTTTTGAGAGTAATTTTAATTAAATAAACATGAGATCAAACTCATAAAAGTATTTAAATACTAATAATTTTTAATTATCAATTTAAAATAATTATAATGATATTTTATGAAAAACTAGGAGAAAAACTAATCAAATAATAATAAAAATAAATAAAAAATTAATAAGATTAAGAAAATAAAGATATAATTAAATAGTAGGAAATTAATATTTATTTTATTAATAAAGATAATATTTAATGAAGACTTTTAATGTAAATATGAAACAAATACTTGTAATTATTGATATAAAATTTTCCAAATATATTCTAAAATAAAAAAATCATTTATGGAATATTTTAAAAGGAATTAATTAAATAGTCTATTTTATTTTTAACTTATTTAAAATATATAATATATTTATTTGAAAAAAAAGGAAACATTACGATTTTTTATAAATATTTTTTGCTTAAAAAATAGTTGCAAACATTTTTAAAGGTTAATTTATATTTATTAAAAAAAAAAATATTATTAAATATAAACGTAATTTTTATTTATTATTTAAGTTTTCAATAATAGTAAATAAAGTCGTTAAATTGTAAAAAAAAAAATACTTAAAAAAAATCAAAGAACATATCAAAGTAGTTAAAATATTAATTAAATTGGGTAATAAAAATAATAATAAGTATTTATTTATAATTAGTTTTTAAATTATTTAAAAATATTAAGTTTTATAAGAATATTTATTAAAAACAATTATGTAAATAATCTGTTATTCTGATTAAACAGTTATTAGTAAATTATAGACTTTTAGCTAGTATAAATTTTCGAATAATAATATTAACATTATATATTTATTTATTTATCAAAATATTAAAAAAATAGAAATTAAATATTTTTTTTAAAAAAATTGATTTTTATTTGATATAATCAATATTTAATTTATTTTATATAAGTAAAAAATTGCTTTTTGACTTAATTATATATTTTTAATAAATAATTAAAATAATTATGAATTTATATAAAATATTAAATTTTTTTATTTATTAAAATACTAGCTTTTTATAATAAAGAAATTTCTCAAGGTCTATTAAAAATTTTTCTTTTAGTTTTTATTCTATCGTAATCTTTACTTTTTATTATTTCAAAATATTTAATTTATTTTTATATATCTTTTATATTAGCTAGTTTAATCCACCATTAAGGATCTTCGTTTAAAAATTCTTCAAATTATTACTTATAAGGAGATTTCGTTAATAAAATAATGATTAGTTCATTATTTAAGGTCTATTAAAAATTTTTCTTTTAGTTTTTATTCTATCGTAATCTTTACTTTTTATTATTTCAAAATATTTAATTTATTTTTATATATCTTTTATATTAGCTAGTTTAATCCACCATTAAGGATCTTCGTTTAAAAATTCTTCAAATTATTACTTATAAGGAGATTTCGTTAATAAAATAATGATTAGTTCATTATTTAATTTAAATTGGCAAAAATATTTAACAAATTCGAAATAAAAAGATGAATCGAACCCATATTTTTTTTCAAGCTTCTTTTAAAACCTTTAAGAATATTTTTGTTATAATTTGTATCATTTCTAAAAACTATATTTTTTTATTTATTTTTATTAAATTTTTAATTATCTTGCTTTAATTTATAATTATAAAAATTATTTATTTATTTTTAATTATCATCAAAATATTTAGAATAAGATTATTTTTCTTATTTATCACTTAAATATTAATTAGAATTTTCATTTTATTAACTAAAAAAACTTTAATTATAATTATTAATTTTATTATTACTATCATATAAATTAATATTTTAATTAATAATTTATATAGGTATTTTATTTATAAGTCCTATTTATTATTATTGTTATTATTATTATTATTATTATTATTATTTTTATAATTTTAATAATTCTTATGACTATTATGAAAATATTTTATTATTTTAATAACTATTTTAGAAAATATTACTATTTATTGAAAACGAAGATATTGAATATTTTTTAAAATTATCATTTTTTTATTTTATACATTTTTATTTATTTTTTTATATATTTTTTTAATTATTGTTATCAATCTAATTTTAATAATCTTAAGTTAATTCTTTGTTTTTTAAATTAAGATTATTATTGCTATTTTAATTCTAATTTTTATCAATTCTTGATAATATATCTTAATATTAAGAGCACAGTTTTGTCGACTCATTTAACAAATATTGTTAAAATTTTATTTATTATTGGTGTTAATATTAAACTAACTTTTAATTATGTATGAGATTTTAAATTTGTATTTAGTTGAGTTTTACTATATTTTCTATAAATTCCATTTAATTTTATAAACTTAATAATTATTATTTTATTTATATATAGGTTTTTTTTTTTTTTAATTAAAAAAATTATAATTTATTAAGAAAAAAAAAATATGTTTGTATATTTTATTTTTAAGTTAAAATTAAAAATTTTGATTATGAAAATAATATAATTTGAAATTTCTATTTATTATTAAAAAATTATTTATAGTTATATAAAATATATAGTAAAATATTAAATTTTACTATATTTAATTTTTAAATAATAAAACAATTCTATTATGATTATTGAGTTTTTAAAATTAAAAATTATATTTATTTTTATTTATTTTATAATTTATATTATATTTTTTAAATTTTATTTCGCACAAATAAATTTAATAATTCATAATATATTTGTAAAAAATAAAAAATAATATATATTATATTTAATTTCTATTAAAATAAATTAAGAAATTGAATATGATTATATACATAAAAAATTCTTAAAATATATTTAAATAATATTTTTTTTTTTAAATATGAATAAAAATTACAATTTTTTTTTAAAAAAAAAAAAAATTAGGGCAAATTATAATTATATATGTATATTTAATAATCTAAATATAAAAAAATATTTTATAAAAAATATATCTTAATTGGAAATTAATTCAAATGATATAATTTTTTTTTATTGTGAATTTTGTAATAATTTATAAAATGAATAGTAGAAAAATTTATAAAAATCAATAGATATTAAAAATTAAATATTATGTTTTATTAATTATATGTGCAATTATATTTAAAATATTTCTAATAAAATGTAAAATTAAATAAAATTTAATACTTTTTCAAAAAAAATTAATAAAAAATTAAAAGTATAAATAAAATTTTAATAATTAATTTTAAACATTTTGATAGAAAAATACATTTAAAAAAAATACTTTTAAAAAATATTTTTTAATAAAAAAACAAAGAAATATTTTTTAAATATATTATTTAAAGGAGAAAAAAAAAAGAAAAAAAATTAATTTTAATAAAAATAAATACAAAAAAATCAATAATATATAATAATAGTAAAAATAAATAATATATAATTTATATTTTATTTTAATAAAATAAAAAAATAATTAATATAATAGAATGCTATTATTTTTTATTTAAAATAAAAAAAGAAAGAAAGTAAAAAAATCAACTTTTAAGTGTTTTATGTCTAAATTTTTATTTATTTTTATCCTAAACATTAATTTACTAATATTAAATATTAGGTATTCCAAGTAATTCCAAGTTCATGCTTTTAGCCGCTGGCGGCATATGTCCAACACACTATTAAAAATATAATTATTATTATTAAAATTAAAATTATTAATCTACAGTATTAATTTATCCTCCTTATAAATATTATTATTATTATTACTAACATAAGTATTCTTATTATTATTATTAGAATTGATTATTATTATTATTATTATTGTTCATATTATTATTTAACATATTGATTTTATTAATTCCAATAGTAGGTTCCTCATGTATGATTTCTGGAAAATCATTCGAATAAAAAGGACTGTATTTCCTATGAGCTTAATATATTTTATTCGTTTTATAAAAAATATTACTATCGAAATTTTGAAAAGCTCTAAAAGCTCCATTTGAATTTGGTTATTAATTATTTATAAGGGCTTTTTTATCTTCATCATTTAACAACTCTTCTATAAATTTGAGATTTTCTCCTAATTCATTATGAGATTCTTCATGAATTGTATTATTTATTATTTCAGAAGGTTAATTTCCATTTATGTTTATTGAAAAAGTAGTTAAATTTTATGACACTTATGAATTATTTTATAAGAAAGACTCGTTTTTATACTAAGGAGAAGATAATATACTACTATTGCAGCTATTTTATTATTTAATTATTTTATTTTTATTATTTTCCATATTTTATTATCCATTATTTTACTAATAAAACTATCTCATGGCTGGATTAAATTATGAATTTTTATGATAAATAATTAAATTGTTCTATTTTACCATAATATCGGCAAATTATTCTGTATGTTTTATTAGAAATTCATTAAAACTTTAACAATTAAAAAGAGAAAATTCAAATTTAGTATTTAATTTGGTACTTAATAATTCGTAAAGTTTCTTTGACATCAATCCATATTAATTCTGTATTAATATATCGTATATAATTGATATTATTTTATTACAATAATCATCTAAATTTGAAAAAGTCTTACCGTTTGTAAATATATTTTATTTATTAATATGACTTTCGGGTTTTAAGGTACAAAATTTTTTATTATAAGAATTTGGTGATAAATCTCTTTGGTTAGAATATGGATGGTTCATCATGCCTTTTTCTTTATTATTACTGTCTGAAACTACACAATTTAATACAAATTAATCATTTTAGCCGAGAAGAAGTTCTTATTGTGAAGATATTACAGAAGTTGTTGTATATTAATATTGTTATTATTAATTTATTTTTTCTATGTTAGATTTTTAGTTTTGGAAAACTTATTATTTTATTTAGGATGGTTTATGCTTTTATTTTTATATAGATATTAAAATATTAAACATAATATTATATACATTACTTTTAATATTGCTTAAGCTTAAGTTGTACCGTCATTTTCAATGATAATATCTTATATTGTTTATAAAAGTGATTTAAGTTTAGGAAATCCAAGTTCATGTAAATCGAATGGAAAATCAATAGATTTTTAAATAAGTTTAGGTAATCTAGCTAAACTAACACCTTTTTTATTTTACATTAAAATATCTGTTATAGTTTATTTTATTATATTTATTTTATCGAAGTGTTGTTCTTTTTACAATTTTTCTTCATATAAAAGTCTATCATTGGTGTTATTATTATTAATATTATTGATATTATTATTATTATTATAATTATTAATATTATATTTTTTATTTATTTAATATATTTTTTAATCACTTTCTATTTTTTAACAACTTTCATTATTATTATTTGAATCAACTAAAAAATCAATATTAAGTACTTCATCAAAATCTAAATTAGCAGGCTTTATTAATAATGTTTTATAATAAATTAATATTCCTCTACTTATTGCCTCTTAGACAAATAACGATAATTTTCCTAAACTACAACTTCTTAAAGGTAATGAACCACAACATTTTAATAATTATGCGCATCCATATCTTTTTTTATAAAATATAAAAAATATATATAAAAAAAATAATATTTAAAAAATTAAATGAAATATATAGAATATAAAGAATATATTTAATTATATTAAAATATATATTAATATATATTATATATATATATATATATATATATATATATATATACATTTACATATATATATATATCTATATCTATATTTTTTTTTATTAATATAATTATTAAATTTTTTTATTTATTTATATATTTAACCTTCCTCCTGGTATCGCTTTATTTATAGATCTTGGTGGTCTTACAAGTGCTTTTTTAGTTGATTTTGTATGTACATTTTCTACACTTGAAGTCCATTTATGTTTCTATTTATTTATATTATTATCAACCATATTTTATGATGTATCATTTTCTTGAAAAAATTCTTTAATAAACTCAATAAAGATTTTCCATAGTTTATAATCTTCTTAAAGTATAGGACCATTATCCGAATGCACCCATTCAATATTATCCTTAAGATAAATAAGGTAATAGTCTTATGTACTTTCTTTAACTTTTTTAAGTTTTAGATTGAAAATTCCATTATTATTTAAAATAACATCTCCATTAATATCTGCTAAATTACTAATATATAGCATTATTCCATTCCAATATAATTAGTTTATTTTTACTCCATAACATTCTTTTATCCGAGAAAGAACCATTTTTTCATTCGGAGTCATTTCGTCATTTCTTATTGATATTATTATCCATATTATAGCTTCTATGGATATTTGATTTAGATGTAAACTTATGTATTAAATTGGATTTGAATCTCCGAATTTTCTTATCGTTTGATGAATTATTTACTTGTATTCTAAATTTTTTATTACTTTTTCCATATTTACGAATTATCCTTTTCCTATTTTCTTTTAATATTCTTCTCTTTTTTTTAAAAAATATACATAAAAAATTAAATATAAATTATAATTTTAATTAGACCTAAAAATATCTATATTAACTAATAACTCGCCTTATTTAGCTCTTTCGATTAAAATTTATTTGCTAATTTCTTAACTAATATCATTTAAATTAAAATGTGAGAGATCTTAATAATTTGAAATTTCAATAGGATTAACAGGAATATTATTATGATTAGTATTTGCAAAAGATGAATTTTCATATTCTTCACCTAAACTGAATTTATTATCTTAAGAAGCATTAAATGTTTTATTTTGTCTTGCTGAGATAATTATTTCCGAGAAATTTCTATTGAATTAGTTTTCTTCTGATACATTCTAATTATTATAATTATTATTATTGTTATTATTGTTATTGTTATTATTGTTATTATTATTATTGTTATTATTATTATTATTATTATTACCAATAATATTATTATTTTAAGTATTTTATGCACCTTGTCTATTTACTAAAGAATTGCTTTATTGATTGATTTTATTAAATGATTAATCTGAATTTTCTATTGACGTTGAATAATTTGTTTTTTATTTGTTTTAGTATATATTATTTCCTTAATTTGGAGGAGGATTCTCATTTTAGATATATTGTCTTTAATGTAATACACGATTTCCTTTATTATGAATCTTCTAATCACAAATTGCACAAAGATTTTATCCACAATTTATGCAGGTCACTGTTGCTTTTTCATCTTCACATTCTTCGCATATTTTATGGGCAAAACTATTCGAATTACTACTATTGGATATGTTTTGGTTTTATGTATTTTTAAGAATTTAATCATTTTGTTGAATTATATTCATGATTTGTATTTTTTGTTACTATAATTTTTATTTTGTTTATAATTATTTTATTTTCTTTTCTTTTTTTAAAAAAAATAGTTTTTGTATTTTTTAATTTTTTGTTTATTATAATGAATTTATTATGTATTTATATAAATTATAATTGCTCAAAGTTATATTGTAATATGAAATTTTCCATTTGCTTTTTTTTTTTTATTTTAAATAAATAATATATTAAAATATAAAAATTGTATAAATAAACAATAAAATATTTAAAAATTGAATTTCTTAATTTCATTTTATTATTTTCTAATTGTAATAATAAAATTTATAACAAAAAAAGAAAATAATAATTTAAATTTTTTTTTAAAAAAAAATATAAAAAAAATTAAAAATTACAATATTCATTTCTTTTTTTTTAAAAAAAAAAATAAAACAAAAAAATATTTTTTTTATTAAAAATAATAATTAATAATATTTTATCTTTTTCAAATTCTTTTCTTATAATACTCTAAAATAGTTCGAACTCCGTAAACATCATTACCAAAAAGAACAGTTCCAGCAATATCAATATGTGCCCATTTAACATTTTTCTCAACGAACTTTTCCAAAAATGCAGCTGCTGTTCCTGATCCAGCATATCCCACCTTTCCTAAATTCTAAATATCTGCAGTAGGATTAAGTGTGTTTTCTCTAGGAAATTAATCAAGAGGTAATCTCCAAAACAACTAATGACTCTATTTAGATAATTAATGTAATTCGTTAGCTAAATCATCATCTGTGGAAAATAAACCACAAGCACTTCCTCCTAAAGCTACAATACAGGCACCTGTTAGTGTAGCAAAATCAAATATAGTATGTGGTTTATAGACATCCTATTAATAAGCCAAGCAATCTGCTAATACGAGTCTTCCTTCGGCATCAGTATTTAAAACTTCGACTGTAATTCCTTTATAACTAGTAATAATATCTGAGTTTCTATAGCAATTTGAGGAAATGAAATTTTCAACAAAACCAAGTGTACAAACAATATTTATTTTCAAATTCAAATTTACAACAGCATTTAAAACCGCTAAAGCAGTACAGGCACCTCCTTTATCTTAATACATTTTTTCCATTAATTATTATTTTAGACTTAAACCACCGGAATCAAAGCATACTCCCTTTCCTACTAAACCATATACATCGTTTTTATTTTCTGGATTTCCCCAATAGCATACTGTTGTGAGATTCGGAGTATTAGCGGAACCTTTACCTACGTTCCAAATTAAATTTAAACCTTTTTTTTCTAAATCTTAACCTTTTATGTATTCAATTTACATTTTATCTTTGTGTTATTAGACTAGATTTTGGCACCAATTTAACATGTATTCAGGTGTAGCTATATTTATTTTATTATTTTTTTTATAAAAAAAAAAATTGTCTATAATTTTTTTTTCTACCTATATTTGCTCTAGTAAATAATAAGTTTCTTCCTTAAATATTACATAAGGCGATTTTTTATAAACTTTAAAATTATTAATCATCGTGAGAAAAATTAGGAGAGAAAACATGTATTTTCTAAAAAGGCTTAAAGTTGTTATTTTCTTCATCTTCAGGATATGATTTTAACTCGTTTTTCCAATTATGCATTGTTAATCCATAAAAAAATTCAGGGAAGAATGTAGAAGAAAAGTTTTCTGAAAACACAAGATTTAGATCTTTAAATTTTTTCTCGATTAAAAACTTAGATAAAGCTTAACCAGTTTTATATTATTCATTAGGACATTCGGTTTTTTAAATATATGTTACATAACATATTTCAAACAAATCATCATTTAAACCAAAAAGGGTTTAGACAGACTTTTTTAAATCAGTTACTAAATGAGTATTTTTCAAGTGTTAAGATAAGTAAGCAGGATGATTTTCTAAATCTTTATCAGATAAAACTGACACTAAGGCTTAAATTTTTTATTAAGGAAGGCCCTTTTAGCTTGTATAGGTAGGGATTAATGAGTTATCTTTTGTATAATCAAAAGGAATGTGTCTTTTCATATATTTTTTTAGATTAGATGATATTTATTTTGTTTATTTAATTAGTATTATAAAAAAGATATTCTTTTATTATAAATAATAAATTAATATTATAAATTATTTTATTTAAAATAAATTAAATTATCATAATGTTATTTCTTAATGTAATTCAATATTTTTTGGCATTATTATATAATTTTATTTTTAACATATTTTTTAATCGTTTTACTATTTTTTTTGTTAAGATATTTTATACAAACTTAATAATAAACATTCTTAAAAAAAAAAATCAACTAATATATGTTAAGAAAATTATATATAAAATAATATACTATCAAATAAATAAAAGCTTATAAAATATTTAAAAGATATTAAAATAAATCTATATTATAATAATTAAATTTTAAATAAAAATAAATGAAAAATGAAAAGAAAAAAAGAAAAAAATAATTAAAGCATTATAATAAATTTATATATAAAACTTTTAATAATTTTTTTAAATATAATAAGTTACCTTTTAAAAAAGATGCATAATAATTGAAAACAATTTTAAAGAGGATAAATACGATTTTCTCACATTTTTTTATAGATTAAACTTTTAAAAAATAAAAAGAAACATAATATAACATATATGTAATATTTTGATGCTAATCTATTATTAAAAAATAAAATATATATAAATAAAACTCATTTTAATAAATATATTATATATACTTTAATTTAATTTTAAAATAATTATATTAATATAACACAATATTCATATATTTATTATTAGTATTTATTTTTCATAATATTGTAAGTTATTAAAATTTAATTATTTTAAAATAACATATTTTAAACAACACATAATAAAATAAAAGTAAATATTAATAAAATATAAAATTAATATAAAATCTAAGTACAACGTAATTTAAAATAAATTTAAAGAACTAAATATAGTATTTAAAAATAAAATAAAAAAAAATTAATTTTAAATTTAAGAATTACGCAATTCATATAATTTTAATGAACAAAAATAAACTCTTTTATATAATAATTTTAATATTTTTATAATTCATTTATCTATAATCTTAAAATTCTTTATAAAATGCGAATATTTGTAGTTATTTTCTTTGTAGTTTAAATATTATAAATTGTATAAATGATGCAAAAGATTGTAAAAATTTCTATTAGTAATGTATATATAAATGTAATTATAATGATATAAAATGCAGAATAGATTGCTTCAAAAACTAAAATTAATATTTTTTAAATTAATTTTCTTATTGTGTTTAAAACAATTGTTTAAAAAACACACTTATGCAAAGTTTTATTATAAAATCATAAAAATGTAGTGAATATTGGTTAGAATAATGTAAATATTAATTGGACGTAATAAATAAAAATATAAAATATAAATAAATATTTTAATTAAATAATTATTTTATTTTAAAGATTGCATTTTTTTAAAATTGTAATTTTGGAAAAAATTAAGATGTATTTTAAAATAAAAAAATGTTTTATATAAATATAAAAAAAAGGTAAGTATTGGCTGCATGAAAGATAATATATAAACATAATGTTATAAATGTGTATGTACTTATGAAAAAACAATTAACGGGTGTAAGTGAATTAAATAATGTATTTTAAAATTTAAATAGATTAAATTTATATGTAAAATAAATATATATATGTAAATATGTAAGTAAAAATATTAAAAAAAAAAAAATATATTATATATATATATATATATATATATATATATATATTTTTATATTTATATATTTATATATTTATATTTTATTTTTTATTTCTTAATAATAATTATATAATTAACTACAAATATTAATGTTGCCCCTATAATACTAAAATAATTTAATTAATTCTAAAAAACATATATTTCAACTAAAAAGCTCATTAATATCTAACTATAACAATTAGACACAACTTTAGAATATTTTCCTATCTAATTTGACCTATTATATTAAATTTATGCTTAAAAGTTACTTATATAAACATCAGATATCTATTTTAAAGTTTCATATTAATAAACATCATAATTAATATTTTCTTAATACTAAATTAATATTTTATATAATATAATTAGTAATATTAATATATTATATAACAGAAAGTATATTTTTTTATTTTCCAATACTTTTCATTACTTAATTATTGAAGCTTTCAAATAAACTAAAAACTAAATAAGCTATATTCCCTTTAATAATTACTCCTCTATTTAAATTTAATAAATATCTTCTGAAGATTGAAATATGTAGCCTAAAAAATATGGTTTTACGATTAATAAAATCCCTATTAAAGAGACTAATATATAAACCAAAACAGCAGATTTTATATACTATTTTAATATTAAACTAGCCATTAATGTATTCCAGACTGGATTTGTAAAAAATATTGCTATACATCACTATAATACATTGTACTTATTATTGCTAAATAATAACAAAAGTGTGCTATAGTGGCAAATAAAAATTGGAAAAATAACATTTTATGTATTTTTGTATTATGTGGGTATGAATATGCATTATTATATTCAATTAAAATAATATTTGCAAAAAAACAAATTAAAGAAAGAAAATATAGAATTTAAGCGACTGATATGCCTTGTAGCTTCTTTATACAAAATCCGGTTAATAGTAAAATAAGGAAGCAAGCAAGCAAACAATAAAATGGAGCAGCTAGCTTGGAAACTTTTTCGAATTAATACAGTAGTGATATTGGGGTATTATATATTGTTTCATTTTATTTAAATTTTAATGATATTTAATATATTAAGTTATATATAAATTTTATTTATTTATTTATTTTTAGTTTTTTATTACAATGTTTATTTAATATTTTTATTATTTAATTGTGTTTATTTTTAAATTTATACTTTACATATATATATATATATATATATATATATATATATATATATATTAATTTTTTTTTATTTATACATATTTATTTTTATACATATCTATTTATCATTTATTAGATGTGTTTTTTTATTTTTATTTTTTTGTTTAATATTTTTTTTTTTTAAGATTACATCGATTATATTTTTTCTCTTTTATACTGTAATGATTTTTATTAATTAATTAAAGATAATTAAAAACTAAATATATTAAAAATAAAATTATAAGGAAAAGAATAAAAAAATAATAATAACAAAAAATAATAATATATATATTGTCTACAGAAAAAATAAATGGTTTAATTATACATATAAACAATATATATTTAATATATATATTTATATTTATTATTTAAAAAGAGTTTAAACGCTGCATAAACAAAATTAAAAAAAGAATTTATGAATTTTACAGGTGTAGATGAGAAAACAGCTATAAGCATATTAAAAAAATACAATTTCGATGTCAATTAAGCTGTAAATAAATATTTTGAAAGTGAATCAAAAAGTGGTCCAAATGCATAAAAATATGAATAAATATTTAATACTTATATGGGTAATATTTTTTAATTTTTTATAAAAAAAAAACAAAAAAACTAAGATTCATAAAGTAAAAAAATTGAAGCAGAAGGAATTTAAAAATTCTGTAATGATTTAGGAATTAGTCCTATGGATGCCGTAATTTTGGTAATTTCATATTATTTTGGTGCTAAGAAATCCGGAGAATATACAAAAGAAGAATTTTGTTAAGGTATGAGTGTATTAAAAGTGACTAGTATAGCAGAATTAAAAGCTAATATTCCACATATAAGAAATGAGCTTATGGATGAAGAGACTTTTAAAAAAGTTTATAAATTTACATTTAATTTTTCTAGAGAATCTAAAAATTTAGAATTTGAATCTGCTAGAGGCAATTTTTATATTTTTTAAATAAGAATAACGCAATATATTATTAATATTAATATTTTTTTTTAAATATAGCACTTTGGGAAATTCTATTACCTTTTGTATTCCATTTTCATAAAGAATGGCTTTAATTTTTAGATGTAAATTATTTTTTTGTTTTTTATTTCAAATAAAAAAAATATATATTAAAAGTAATTGCCTAAAGAAAAATAAAAAGATATTAGTTAAGATTTGTGGAATATGCTTTTAGAATTTCATATCTAAGTTAGAAATGATTTAAGCAAATATGATCCTTATAGTATTGTTTTATTAAATTTTGCATATATAAATATAAAATAGGTGCTTGGCCAAGTTAAATTGATGAATTTATGGAATTCATGGGATTTAAGCCTTAATTTGAAGAATATTGAAAATAGAAATAAAGAAAAAATAATATATATATAAAATTAATGAATGAATATTTAGTTATTTTAAAGAATGATATATGTATATTATTTAATTTTTCAAAAATACCTTCTTTTTTTTTATGCAAATTATATTTATAATAATTGTTTTAAACTTAAAATAAAATACTAGAAATATAATAACAAAAATAAAATATTTTAAAATTTAAAATATTTCTATAATATAAAAAAAATACTTTATTATATATTATAAAAACTAAAAAAATAAAAATAAGAAATGCGTTTTTCATTAAAATTTTGAAAGTAAAGGTTGAATTAATATTAATTTATATAATTAGTTAAAAAAATAAAATTATGTAAATAAATAAATATATGTTTTATTAAATGATTTATTACAAAAACAATATGAAAATAAAATAATATCTGAATAACTAAATAAAGTATAAATAATATTATATTAAGGAAAATATTTATTAACTAAAAGTTGAAATCAAACTGTTTAATAAAAAACAGAATGAGAAGTTAAGTTAATGCATTCTGATTATGCAAATTAAATATAAAAAATATATATATATATATTTAATAATTTTAATATTAAATAATTAATTATTCAAGAAATCAAGATAAAATTTATTAGATACAGAGTCTTTTATTAAAATAAATTTAATAAAATAAAAAATTAAATAATAATTATAATATTTTATAATAATTAAATTAGTGACAATAATATTTGTATTTCTAAAAAAAAATTAAACTTATAAAAAAATAAGTTTTTTTTTTTTTTTAATTTTTTTGTAAAATAAAAAAGATATAATTATATAATAAACTTTTTTGTAATAGAATTATAAAAATAAATTAATTGATATAATTGAATATTTATTTTAAATAATAATAATAATCTAAAAAATATCATTTATAAAAAAATATTTATGCGAAATTTTAAAATATTATTAATAAAAGAATATTTAAAAGTACGTATTTGTATTTAGTTTTTTTTATAAATGTTAATTAATATTTTAATTTTATAATATTTATTAAAAAATGAATTATTAATATATAATATATAAATAAAAAAAAAGAAAAAGTCGAAATTATATGACAATATATTATTTAATAAAAATTAAAAATAGTAATAATACGAAAAATAATAAAATGAAATAATAAATGTAATTTAATCTATCTGAAAAAATAATAAAGAAAATTGATATCTTTGGACAACCGGTTGCATTAAACATAGATAACAAAAGTATATATAAAACAGAATGTGGAGGGGCAATAACTATTTTAACACTTTTTGGATTTTTAATATTTTATTTTAATCAGTACATATTAAATACAAAAATAAATTTTTATATTTATATATTTTTTTTCAATGATTTATATTTTTTAAAGTTCTAGTCTTTTTTAAATAAAAATTAAATATTTGTAATTTAATAATATAATTTAAATTATACTCATGATTCTATAGTTTTTGATAATGAAAATTATATGTTTGCTTTATAAATAAAATAACAAGATTTTATTAAAAGTCCTTTTTATTCAATAAAAGTTTAGTATAAAGAAAAAAATGAAGAAAAAGAAAATAATTAAATAATAAATTTAGAGCCATGTACAACAGAACATTTTTAGAATTTAAAAAAAGGCTAAATTTCAAAAGAAGAATATAACAAATATAATTTAAACGATTATTTATGTCTTCCCAAAAAATTCACATTTTAAATAAAAGGAACTTATTATGGAAATAATTTAAATTTCCTAAAAATATAAAGAATAGATTGTAAAAATTATTAATTTAAAATTTGTTAAAATTAAGAATGCTTAGATTAGTTTTTAATATAAAATTAAGGAAATGTTATCTTAAATATTTTATAAACTAATTCAAAATAAATGCATAATAAAAAGATTATGTTTAATAATTTATAACTAATGAAATTTTTTTATCTTTTAAAACCTTATTTAGTTAATACATATATATAAAATTATATATATATATTATATATATTATATATATATATATATATATATTTATATTTTTTTTACATACATATGTATATATATATTTTTTTTTTTAATTATAACAAAAATATAAGTTTGTTACAGAAACTAGCTTTTATTTTACTAAACATATAATTGTAACTAATGAGGAAATTTTTATTGCAGAAAATATAAAACAAGATATTTATTAAATTTTTAAATAAGAAGATATGTAATCCTAATATATTTAAAAATATAAGGTGAATATGCATTAATATATTTACGGAGAAGTAAATAAACAATAAAATCATAAAGTAGTCATTAAAGATTTACAAATTTCATATCTAATATTGGACGTTTTGCATAGATTTTTTTCGTTATAATATAGTTTTTTTTGAGTATTTTTAATAAAATATATTTCGAGGTTGAATTGGCAAATCGTTTGTATGATTTTTAATTTAAAACGAATAAATAGAAAAATAATCATGAATAAAATTATAAACTTTCAGGAGAATAAATAAGTTAAATAATAAAATAAAGAAATCATAATTAAAGAAGAAAAGGTATTACTTTTAATCTAAATTAAAAGGAATTTATTTAAACATAAAATAATATTTAAAAAATTAATTAAGAGAGAAAAAAAATCTATAATTCAAGGTTATTAAAGTAATATCCGTTTAATTCATTAAGATTAATATTTTTTTAATTAATAATAAAATAATGTTGATTATTAATAATTTCAATAAAAATAAAATTAAGTTAAAGATTTTAACTTTTTATAAAGTATTAAAATTAATATTAACGAAATTTCTAGCCGATAATAAGAAAGCTAATAAAGAAAAGAAGATTCTAGTGTTAGTAATATGGGGACTAATAATCATAAAAATGAATAAAAATCAGTAAGTGAATAGTCTTAAAATAAAATTGAATAAAAAGATAATAAATAATAATAAGCTTTTAATAATTTATATATTAATGATAATATAGTTGAGTAAAATGAGCTTTTATAAGGATTTAATTTTACTTCTAGAAAGTTACGTTTTTAAAAAATAAATAAATATTAATTTTATAATTTAAATTATATATTAGAGATTTTCTAATTAGTTAATTTTAAGAAATAATTAATAAATAGAAAAGAATTAAAATTACTTTTTAATATTTCATAAATAAAATGTTTTTGTCGAAAATTTTTTAGTTCTTAAAATAATGAATCAATTAAAAATGCTTAAAATATTATTAAATAAATAAAAAATAAAATTTTGTAATATTAAAAAAAATAAAAATAGGATTTAGATATTTTTATAATCATTGATAGAATAAAATAACTTGATAAACTAAAAGAATTGATTTTTAATGAAAATCAATTAATCTTATTTAACTTATGTCCGAAACCCATTATTAAACAAGAAGTTTAATCAGTAAAAAAACTTTATATTATGTATAAACATATATATTTATATATACTGATATATATTTTTATTATAAGATGTTCTTAACAAGAGTTCAGTTATAAAAGAAATATCAAAGCTATAAGTTAAAATAAAAACATTAATTAAAATCTGAAAATAATATAAAATAATTTGATAATTTTAATGTTAATACATATAATTTGATATACAAAGCTTATGAAGAAGTTCTAAGACATTAATAAGAATAAGAAGATATCCAAGAAAAAAAGTATTTGTTTAATTTTTTTAATACATAATAATAATAACTTTATTAAAAAAGAAAGAATGATTTTTTAGTAGGTTAACTAAGAGAAGTAATAAAAGTTATATTTGAAACTTCTAAATTGTAAATTTTATAATAATTAGTATTTGATATTTTATTTATTAATTGTATTTTCAATTAAAGAATATTTATTTTTTATTTTATTTTTAAAATAGAATAAAATTTGAATAAGTTTCATTAAATTCAATTAAAAGTTTATAAAACATAAAAATTAAATCCAAATCTTAAATTATTAGATAAAATTGTAGATTAAATAATACTATAAGAAGTACAAATGAACATTAAACATAAAAGAATAAAAATTTTTAAATAAATTATGATCCTAATAAATACAATGGCGTATGAAAAAAAATAAATCTGATATTGGAGTTTCTTAAGAAATTTGATTAAATATATATTTTAAAAATATATATATATATATATATATATATATATATATATATATATATTATAATACAATTTTTCAATTTATTAGAAATATAGTTAACAAAAATATATATATATATATAAAAATTATATAAATTTAATATTTTTTTGAGAATTTGACATTATTAGTTTTTTATTAATTTTTTTACTTCAATTAATTTTCTGAAAAAAAAAAAATTGTTTTTTAAATTTTTAATTTAATTTTTTTACTTTTATACTGGCGGATATAATTCATTTTATTTTTTAGATTAAAAGATTAAAAGATTTATATTTTAATAATATGTTTTCTTATAAACATTTTTATATGTATTATATAATTTTTTTTATTTTTTACATAAAAAATTTTATTAATATTCAATATGGCATTTTATTCTTTGTTTATATAAAAAAAATGTTTGACAAATATGTGAAATTTATATTAGTTATTTCTTATTAAATTTGTTTTTTTTATTATTATTTCAATAAAATACTTTTTTATTTATGTTAGAATTATAAAATTATAGATTTAATATTTTTAGCAATTAAAAAAAAGGAATATAAAATTATAAATTTATACAATAAAAAGACTAAATAATAAAAATTATTTAGAAAAAAAACTAATAAATATTAATTTTAATTATTTAATTGAAAAATAAAAAAATTATAAATATTTTATTAAAATATTTATTAAAAAATTTTTTATAAATATTAATTAAAATATTTTTTATAAATATTTATTAAAATTTTGGCATTTTTAAAAGTTAATAAATCAATTTTTATAAAAAAACCTAAAAATAATTTTAATATTAGTATATTTAAAAATAATAATAAATACGTTTTCACATACTTTTTTTATATATAACTTAAAAATATGCAAAATTATATTTTAAAAACGAATACATAATATTTTAATTGAAAATATTAGTATATAGTATATATAATTTAATAAAAAAAATTAAATAAAACAAAAACCTTAAAAATAATAAAACCTATACTATATACTAATGCAATAAATTTCCTAATAATAATAATCACAATTACTTTAAAAAAGAAAAATAAATCAAGCTTTTGACATATAAACAATTCTATAATAAGAATTTCCTTTAAACGAAGATTAAATGAATAGCTATTTCGAAGGTATTAAATAAATTTTGGGACCTAAAAAAGCTAAATTAATGTTAGAAAAAGCATGCTAATCAGTATAAATATAATCAAAATAATAACTATCTAATAATTAATTGTATAATAAAATATTATTAAATATACATAATAATTATTCAAAGGAAATAAACTCTTCATTAGAATAAAATATTTAATAATATTCTCAATGCTTGTAAAATGTAAATTTACTTTGTTAGTTAAATTGTGGTAAATTATTAGTATAAAATGTTGATGTGTAGAATAAATACGAAAATTTATTAAATAAAGAAACTACTAAATAAATTATAGAACTTATATCTGTAATAAAAAATTGCGTAGGAGAGTCTAAATTTTTATATTTAACAAGAAAATCTATTATAAAATTAGCAAAAATAAATAATTTTTCGTAAAATAAAAGCCATTTAATGTAAGAAACTAGTGGAGAAGATAGTAGTTTTAATAATATTTTCAGTTCTGAAGTTGATTTAATTTAATTTTTACCAAAAATTTTTAAAAAAACTTTCCTTAAATACATTATTAATGAAATTTATAAATACTAAAAAATTGTTTAAGATATTATACTTGTATAGAAAATAGCCAAATGATAATATTTTATATATTATTTTAATTAAATCTTAAAAGCTTTTTCATATAAATCATTTAAAATAAAAAATATATACGGTTGTATTATTATATATTGTGTAATTATTATAAATTGTATTTAAAAAAAAAAAATTTAATAAATTTGTTAAATGTTTTTTTTTTATACTCATAAAAAAATAAAATAAAATTATATTTTTTAATTAATTTTATTATCTTCCTCTAAATTTTTACAATTAAATATTTAATTTTTTAATTTTTTAATAATTAAATTCAAATAATTCTATTAAATTTATTAAAAAATAAATTCATATTTTTAATAACTTTTATTTATTTTTACTATATATACGTTCCCTTAAAAAAAAAAAACGAAATCATCATTAAGAATAAAAAATTAAATTAATTATAAAAAACATATTTTAATTTATTTTTTAATTAATATAAATATGTTTTTTTAAAAATACATATATTTATATATATTAATTACTATTTAATTTAACAGTTACTTATAAAATTAATATAAAAATGGGAACCTGCAATACTTATTTTTAAGAAAAACAAGAAATAGATCCATATAACGTTCCTTAAGAAAGCCAACCAATAAAATTAGATAATATAGAAGAATCTTAATAAAAAGTTATCAAAATCCAAGCGCATGTAAGGGGTCATTAACAACGAAAGCAAGTAGAAGAATTAAAATTAAAAGAATCCGAAGATATACCTCCTACGGAAATCGCAACGCCTTTTTATGGAACATTTGAACCGCAAAAGGACATAGTATTAAAAGTTTTATAAGAAAATCCTAAATTCAATTGGCCAGCAAGGGCAGAATTCAAAAATTTAACGCGTTTAGCTCCATATAAAATAATAAAAAATGAAGCAATATATAAAGGTTAATGGAAAAATAGTAAAAGACATGGAAGAGGTATTTAATATTGGCCAGATTCTTCCGTATATTAAGGAGATTGGGAAAACGATATGGCAAATGGTTAAGGAAGATTAATTCATTCTGATGGAGATTACTATTAAGGATCATGGGTTAATGATAGAGCTTAAGGAAAAGGTTTATTTTTATAAAAAAAAAAAAAAAAAAATATAAATAAAGGTATATTTAAACATATTGATGGATAAATGTATGAAGGAGATTGGTTAGAAGACAAACAAAATGGTTTTGGGAAAGAAATATAGCATTTATTTATTTATGAAGGTGAATTTTAAAATGGATTTAAACATGGTAAAGGAAAATTAACTTGGAAAGAAGATTAATCCTATTATGATGGAGAATTTTAAAATGGAATTATTTAAGGAACTGGAACTTATTATTTTAAAGATGGAAAAAAATATTAGGGATATTGGGTAAATGGAAAAATGCATGGATATGGGGAAATGTATTATTGTAATGGAAAAATTTATAAAGGATAATTCGAATAGGATGTAAAACACGGATAAGGAGAAATGAGGTATCCAGACGGAAAGGTTTATATTGGGGAATGGAAAAATAATAAATAAAATGGATAAGGAAAAGTGATTTTAGCTGATGGAAGAATTGGTAAAGGTATTTTTAAGGACGGAAAATTAATAAAAGATGATTGAAATATATTATTAATTTTTAAATTTTAAAAATGTATATATATATATAAATATGTATGCATAGATATAAAAATATATATATATATATATATATATATATATATATATATTCATATATTTTTGTGTACTAAATATTTTTGAAATTTTTTTATATATTTCTTTATTTTTAAGATATTTTATTTTTATTATATATAAAAAAAAAAATTATAAAAATTTTTATTAAAATTTAATTTTTCATTATAATATATTTATTTTTTTATTTAAAATATAATAAATTATTTTATGATTCAAAAAAGAAAAGCAGCTCATGATAAGCCTGCTTTAAATGAAATTTATGTCAAGAATAAATAATTAACTAGAGTATATTTAAAAAGAATTCATAAATTGATTAAAATGAATTAAAAGACTATTATTCTACATGGAATGACAGCAAGTATTAATAAATGTGTTAAAATAGCATTAAAAATATGTGAATAATATTCTGACATTACTTATTAAATAGAAACAAATAGCATAAATACAATAATTGATAAAGTAAATTAATTATTAATAAAATTAATATTATTTAAATAATAATAAATACTATTATATATTTTATTAGATAGATGATTAAACGTAAGAAGATGAAATGATTTTAAAGATAAGATCAATAATACATATTACATTAAAAAAAGATTTAAATTTTTGAATATTTTTTAAATAATATTAATAACTATAAAAACTATTTTGATATTAAACTTAAATTAATAAAAATTATTAATATGGGAATACTTAATGTATTTTTTATTTTAATTTCTCAATTATTTATACATTTGTATTTTATATAATCAATTTTTTTTTCTTTTGAAAATTTAAAAGATTCTATTGAAAAAAAAAAAAAAAAATTAATATAAGATTTAAATATATTTTAATAAAATAAATTTTAATTTTTTTTGTTTTATATTTTTACATTTCTAATATATGTTTAATTTATACTAAAAAGTTGTATAATCACTTATTAATAATACATAATAAAAGACGTTTTTATTTTATTATAATAATATTAAATTTTGCTTATATAAAATTTAATTAATCAGTTTAGCTAATGTTAGTTTTATTTTCCCAAATTAATGTATGTGATATAAAATAAAAACTATGTATAAATAAATATTTTTTTATTATAATTTTAAATAAGTAATACAATATTTTTTAAATATCATCTATATCCTAAAACTTTACTTATTTCTTCTAAATTTTATTAAGTTTTTTTTCTATTTAAACTATTTTATATTCTTTTATTAATCCATTTTATTAATAGGGATCCTTTTTTTAAAAAAAAAAAAATAACTAATAAAATATTATTAATATTTTAACTTATTTAATAAAATTTTCAACTTAACTTTAATTATCGCAATTAAATATAATAATTGAACCTTCTAATGGAAATTATTATCCTCCTACAATTTAATTTCCATCTTTTTCGAATTTTTTAATTAAATTCTCATGTTATTATCTTAAAGGAACTAATGATATAAAAATTAATTAGTTTTAAATTTAATAATATTAACTATAAAATTAAATAATTATATAATAATAATACTTCTTTTATAATAATGATCTTAAACAAATTCATAATTTACAATAAAATATTTTTATTTTTCAATAGCTGAAAAATTATAAATGATTTTATTAATTTTTTAAATCATTTTTATTGAAAAAAAATTATTTATTTATAGCTATTAAAATAAAAATAAATAAATTAGAAAAAAAATAAAAAAAGATATAAAATAAATTGTTAATATTTTTCTTTATAAACAATAATAATTTTAGTAAATTATTTTAAAATAAAAAAATTAATGTTAATGTGACAAGATAAAATTAATTAATAATTAAATATAATAAAAATAGTATGTTAAATTAAAAAATTATTTAATTTTCAATAATTAAAAATTATAAAATAATTCGTAAGAAAATATATTTTAAAATTTAAAAATAAATAAATTTATAATTTATGATATAATTATTATTATTAAAAATAATATTGTATTATTTGAAGAATATTTATTTAATTTAATATGTTTTTTTAAAAACTTTATTTATAATCAAATGATTATAAAATTATATATAAAGTTTTAATATTTTATAAATATAAATTATTTAAATTAAAAAAAAAAAAAAGTAACCAAAAAAAAAAAATATTTAACAAAAAACATAAAATATATAACATATTTTTTTAAAAAAATGAGTGAAAATAAATAAAAAACAAATTCAGTAACTACTCCTGGTTCAGGCTCAAAGAAAACAATTGAAAAACTTTTTAATAAAAATATAAAATAAATTCCAATTCCAAATAAAAAAGAATTAATATTAGGAGATTATTTTTCAAAATAGGGAAAAATTATAAAATCTAAACGATATTTTGAATTATATAAAAACGAAATATACTATTATTCAGAAAAAGATCATAATTAACCAAAAGGTTATACTTAAATAAAATTTAACCTATGTTTTGAATTACTAAGAGAAAAAAATGATAAAAAATAATTATAACAAACTAAAAAGAAAGAAACATTGAAAGGATTTAAATTTGATAGAGATGGAGCATTTTGCATAATATATTAATAAGATGAAAATATTATAAAAAAATGGAATAGATAATTAGTATAAATGTTGAATTAAAGAGGATTCCACGATTAGTTTTAAGCATAAAAAAAAATTGGTCAAGGAAATTTTGCTTCAGTAAAATAAAAAACATAAAAAAAATATTTCTATATTAATAGTAAAAAACATAAGATAATGAAAAATAAAATATAAAAAAAATTATATAAAATAACCAATAATAAATAATTAAATAATATATATATATATAAATATAATATATAATATGTATCTATATTTATATAATATAATTATTCATATATTAAAAAGTTTTTTTATAAATATATCTATTTTTATAAAAATTTATATATTTATATTATTAATTTATATATATATATATATATATTTATTAATATATATTATTTTTTATTAATTTTTATGTATTTTATTTATAAAGTATTTGTATCTTTATTTAATAAATTATAAAAATATTTAAAAAGGTTTATTTAGCCTAAAAATTTGAAGATGGCAAAATATATGCTGTTAAAGCTTTCTGTAAAGAGTATGCGTATGCCCAAGATAAAGGTAGAGAATCGCTTATAAATGAAATTGAAATATTACGTTCTTTAAACCATCCAAATATATTAAAATTGCATGAAGTTTTCGAAACAAATAATTCAATATATTTTATTCTAGATTTAATAGAAGGAGGTGAATTATCAGATAAATTGGAAAGTAAATCAAAATTTACATATGATGAAATAAAGGAAATAGTTAAAGGTTTACTTGAAGGTATTAAATATATGCACAAAAAAAATATAATGCATAGAGATTTAAAACCTGAAAATTTACTTCTAAAAAGTTCTGAATCTACTCATATTATAATAGCAGATATGGGACTATCTACTAAAGTGGATTTGCCTTAATATATGTTTGTTAGATGTGGAACACCAGGTTATGTTGCCCCTGAGGTAGTTAATATAAGAGATATGAAGACTACCTATTCTTCCATTTGTGATTTGTATTCTATTGGGATAATTTTTCATATTTTGTTATTAAATAAGTCCCCTTTTGATGATAAAAGTTATAATAAAATTCTTAAAAAAAACAAAGAAGCAAATATCAACTTTGATTCAATGGATTATTTGAAACTTTCAGTCGATTCATTTGATTTACTTTAGAAGTTATTGGCAAAAGATCCATTATAGAGAATTAGTGCAAGTGAGAGTTTAAATCATAATTATTTTAAAGATTCTTCGAATCCATAATAGTTAGTTCTTTAATTAAAACAATCACAATAAGTAAATATTGATAATAGTTCTAATAAACCTAGTTCTTAGTCTTTATTAGATTCTAAAAAAGAAGAATTTAAATCTAAGTTATTTTATTTTTTTATTTTATTAATTTTTTTCAAAATAAATAGAAAATCGTCTTTAAATTCTCCTATATAGAATAACAAACATTAAATTAATAAAAAAATTTAATAAGATTCTTGTTTAACATTTAAAATGGGGAATTCTCCACTTAATTACAATTAAAATAAATATTAAAATTTTACAAATGCAGTTAATGATTTAAATAGTTTTTAAGTAATAGGAGGAAATGAAAGTGATCATAATCCTAATAATAATAATAATTCTAATTAAAAAATTAAAATGACTCCTTCTTAATTTAATAATTAAGCTGCAAGAAATAGAAATATTTCGATTGCTAATTAATTAAATTAAGCTAAGTCTCCTTAATAAAATAATAATTATAAATAAGCACTTTTAAATAGCTAGTTGAAAGAATAAAACACATATAAAAAAATGAAAAGTTATAATTATAAATATAAATACAAAAACCAGAGTAAGAGTAGAGCAAGGAACAAGAAGAATAAAAAGATGATTATAGAGAATAAGATATATCATAAAAATAAAAAGTTTTTTTTTATATGTATATATTTATATATATACTTTTTTGATATATAAAAAAGATGATATAAGAAACAAATTAAAATATTAAATTTGAAAATTAAAATAATGAATTTTATTGATGATTAGTAAGTAAATGTTATAGATATAAATAACTAATTTTTTTTCTTTCTTTTTCTTTATTTAATTTATTAAGTAATACTTGTGTATGTAAAAAAATAATAAATAAACTGGATTTTTATAATATAATATAAACTAAAAACATTATAAATTAAATAATTTCAATTTAATTTTATTCAATTATTTAGACTAAGTAAGCTCTTTTTTTTCTCTCAGTACTACTTTGTTATGTTTAAAAATTAGATATTGAAAAAAAAATTAATAAATATTTTTTCTAATGGATTTATTTTTAAGTTCAAAGCTTATTTTACATAAACTAATCATACTATTGTTTTTATTATTATTTAAATTCTAAAATTATTATTCTAAAAATTATTTTTACTAAAATTGTATTAGTTCTTATAAAGATCAACTTGAATAAAAAAAGTTCAATTATTAAGTTAGTACAATACATTATTATTTATGTTATTATGTTTTCCATATTTTTTAATTATTAGACTTTTATTTCCATTTACTTATAAATTAGTTTTATTTTTCTTCAAATTATTGACTTGATAATTTTTAATTAAACATACTTTTTCTTCTACTAATAAATATATTTTCTTATATAGATCTAAAAATAAAGCCTAGTTATTTCTCTTTCTGAAAAATCACTTTATTTAAAAGTGAAATTAAATTATTTTTATAAATTATTTGATTCATTATTATTTTCAATTAAAATATTAGATTTTTTTTAGTATTAATATTATTTTATTTTTCTTGTTAAATTTATTATTATAATACTAAATTATTTAATAAAATATTATTATCTTATATAGCATTATATTCTATAAATAATAAGATTTTTAAAATTCAGTTAATTGTTTGAATTTCAACTTGTTTAGATTTTATTGTTTTACATATTATTGTTAATTATGTTAATAAATTTCAAATTGTATTGTAAAAATTTGTATGTAAAAAAATATTATTCTTAAACTTATAATAAGTATTATTTTTTATTTAGAAAGTATATTTTTTTATTCAAAATTAAATACACTATAACTTATTTTTTATAAAAGATAAATTAATATAAAAAAGCATTGAAATGATAATATAAATTTTAAATAAAAATAAATGTAATTTTATTTATTTATATATAAAAATTTAGTTTTATTAAATAATTAAAAATAAAAATCATAATATTTTATGATTGGTATTATTTTTAGGAATTATATTTTTGATTTATTAAAATGGTAACGTTGTTTATGTTATAATTCTTACAAAATTAATATTTAAATTAAAATAAGAACATATCTAAAATTCATTATTATTAAATTAATATTATAATTTTTTTTATATTATTTAAAATAATAAATATTTATAAAATAAAATATAATATAATTATTATTATTAATATTATTATAATTATTATTATTATTATTATTATTATTATTATTATTACTTGAATTAATATTTTTAACAAACCTTTTTTTAATTACTTTAATTCTATTTATATATTTTTTTTTTTATTTTTAGTTTTTATATATAATTTTAATTAAATATTTTTAATCTTTTAATTCATACTTTTATAATTAATATCTTTACTTTAATTTTTTTTTTTCAATTATTTTTTTAAACATTATCTAAATAATAAAAATTATAAATATCTTTAATTTATTTATTTTATATTAATTTTAAAAAATTTATTATAATATTTTTTAAGCTATTATTATTATTTAATTTTATATATAATTTCAAGCTTTAAATTGTATTCTTTTTATTTAATTAAATATAATATTTTCTAATTTGGTATCGATTTTAAACTTTATGATTATGAAGATTGTGAATTTAGAAGTTAATCTAAATGATATTTTTTTTATTTTATATTAGTTTTAATTTAGATTCATATTAAGAAAAATTTGTATCTTTTATTTTAAAATAAGTAAGGTCTATTGTTTTATCTATATTAAATTAATGATAATCATTTTATTTAAATAAATTTAGATTTTTAGGATTAAAAATATTATTAATTTTTCTTTTTTAATACTAAAAATTTTTAAAGTAATTATTAATCGGATTTAATACACTATAATAATTTTATTTAAAATTATGTAAAAATCCAATTTTTTTAAAAAATTTAAATTATTTTTTGTTATTAAAATGAATTAAACAATGAAGTTTTATTTTAATATTTTTTTTAAAATCTTTTTCATAATTATAAATTATTTTTAATATGAAAATATAAAAACTATGTTATAGTTATTTTTATTTTTAGGATAAACATATAAGTAAAATTAAATAAATAAAAATATATAATATCAAATTTATGCTAAAGTCTCTATAGCTTAAAAACATCTTAAATGTTTAAGAACTGAATAAAAATTATTTAAAAAAACTTCTTTACATATAACACCGTCTTATCCGAATTCCTATATATAATTTTGAATTTCTTCATCAGTGCTTCTAAATCTACATTTCCTCATCATAATTTTTAATTATTTGAAATCAAGTTTTTGATTTTGATCAGTGGAAAATTAATTATACAACTAAATTTAAAATAATATTTTATTTTTTTATCTAAAATAAAATAATATATATTACTTATTCTAAATCACTCTTAAGTTCTTCATATGTCCATCCTTTCATTAATTTATCATATGGAATAATTCCTTCATTTTATATTCTCAACTTAGTTATTTTTTTTAAATAAAACAAATTTTATATCTAATAAAATGAATTATACTTTTTTCTTAATCATATTAGGTGTAAAAAATTTTTTTATCATTAAACTAAGAATTCTTGATCCTGTTAAATAATTGACCATATTATTTTCATCTTTATCAATAAAGCTTTTAATTATATAAGTCTTATTTTTTACAAATAAAAATTAAATATAAAAAACCATTTATTTATACTTATGTTTTAGTTAAAATAATTTCTTTGGATTTTTTAAGTTCGTGCATTAAATCATCAATATATATAAATCCCTTATTTTCAGTATCATATGGTTTACAAATATCTCTAATATAAATTTCCAGATTATTCAATTAACTTTCCATTAACCCATTTTTTAAAATAACTATTCTGAAATTTAATAAAATATCGTAAAGTTTTTCATAAGGAATATCATTATCGGGATAATCTCTGCAAATTTGTTTCATTAATTCTTCACCTTCACTTTTATTAAAAAATTAATCACCAAACTATATTTTTTTAGTTGTAATAAAACAAAAAAATAAATAAGAATAGTATATATATATATTATAAATTTACTTCTTAAAATATTTTAATTAAATTTTCTGAAGAAATATAAGTTAATTCATCTTCATCAAATTCTCGACATTTTTAAATTAATTATTTTATAGTCGAATGCATTTCATCATTTTATAATATTAGTATTGATTAATGTAAATATTCTTCTTCGCCTTCTCTCAAGCTTTTTTTAGCTTGATTTTTCATAAATATTCCGTGTATAATTTCAGCACCTAAAGGAATAAATTCCTTATATTCTATTATTCCGTTTTAATTACTATCTGCCATTATCATTAATTCTTGCCATTATTCTTTACTTAATTATAATCTATTTTATTTATTTATTATTATATTTATCATTTATTATTTTACCCCATTAAATTATAAACTTGCATACATTCATTAAAACTTAGAACTCCCATGTCTTATTAATCTACACTTCTAAATACATCAAATAAGGCTTTTTTCATTACTTCTATTTATTCGTCCTCATTTACAAATTCTTCGTTTACTTCTAATTCTTCAGGGAATTAAAGCAATTATTTGGATAAATATTTATCTTCTATTACTTCTTCATGGTAATTCAATTCTTCAAATATTTTATCCAATCTAGGCTAATATATTAAAAATGAAATTTAATTAAAATATATATTTTTTTTAAATTTACATCTTTTATTCTTGTAGCTTCGAATTCGGTTCCTAAAAATAATATTTAGCTAGTCATAGCTTTTTTTTCTAAAATTTTTTCTAACCATTTCTATATTTTATTTATTTATATGTTATTTTTTTAAAAAAAAAATAATAAAGAAATTTAAGATAAGTAACCTCCATTTAACTAATTCTCAATGTTCTTTAAGGATTATGAATTAAAGAATCGCTTTCAAATCTAAATTTTAAATTAAATCCAGTAACAGATGATTCATCTTCATTTAGGTAAAAATAAACCTTAACAGTGGCTTTGGGAATTGGTTTATTTATTAAAGGCAAACTGAATTCTGTCATAAATCTATATATATATTTATATATAATAAATTTATTTATTAATTATTTTATTTTTTATTGCTTTTTGAAATATATATATATAAGTATTACACATGTCCAAATGTATTATATGTTTAATAAGTTGTTTAATATAAATATTTTTATGTCCATGTACTTATAAAATTGTTTATAAGCTCTTCTCCTTTTTATTCAATTTGTATTTGCTTATTCATTTTATAATTTTTTATTATTTTTTTATATTTTTTTATATATTTTATATTTATTTTTTATCATATGAACGGTTGTTTTATTTTTATTTATTTATGAAAAAAAAAAAAAAACTATAAATATTATTTTTTAAATAAATTGTAAATATTAACCAATTTATATATATGTTTTTTGTTGTGTATGATAAAATTAAAATATAGATAAACCATTAATTTAAGCTGAATCTAAAAATTGAAAATATTTTAAACAAGTTTTTTAAAAAAAAATTAAAAAAGCATATCCGAAAATAAAAATTAAAGCTAAATTAACATAAGCAATTAACATAGATATTAATAAAATCCAAATTATTAATCTAATTACAAATGAATTTATTTAATATTATTAAATATATTCGTAACTTATTATATAATTTGAACTAATGTATTAACTTAATTATATTAATATCACTATTTTAAATATCAAATAATTTTCTTATTATATGTTATCATATTAAGAAACACATAATTTGATATATTGATATATTTCTATTTATTTAATAACATATAAATATAACAAATAATATAGCTTTTTAAAAAATGAAAATTATTTTGCCAAACAAATACTTTTTTAAATATACCATTATTTTATTATGTGTATTTTTATTTATAATTATATATAATAAAGATATATATATATATATTATATATATATATAATAATTTTTTATTATTTTCTGAAAGACTGTATTGTTTTTATTTAAAGATTATATTATAAATTAGTCTATATTTTATCATTCATCAGTATATTTATTTATTTCTAAATCATAACAATAATTTACTTGTAAAAAATAATTATTACAATAAAAATATTAATATCAAAATAATTTATTATATACTTAGATTTTTTTTAATAATATAAACATATTTTAAGTAGATGTATAAAATAGGATATAAAATTATTAGTATCATAAGAAACAAATTCATTAATATTTTTTTTATTTAAAGTTTCCTTATAAATTTTTTATTTTATACAAATGTTAAAATATATTTCTTTGACATTTTAAAAACTGCAGGTTTACAAAAATTAGTTTACTTTAAATTATTAATACTGAAATTACTAAAAAAGCATAAAATTTATATTTTAATAATAAAATAGTTATATTAATTTAATAATCTTATTATAAAAGCCAATTAAGTAATTTATAATAATTTTACCATTTTTTTGTTAAGGCTTTTTATAAATAATTCTTAATCAAGGATATAAAAAAATATATATATTATTAATTTTTAATCTATATATTTGTAAATATAACATTTTTGATAAATCTTTTTTTTATTATTTTTGATTATTAACATAAAATTTTTATATAGATAAAAAGCAAATATAGAAAAAGTTATTATTCGATAGTTATTAAATAATTGAATTTTATGAAATATATTTTTCATATGTTTCATTCATATATTAAATTATGTTTATATTTATCACTACATTTCTTAGTTTCATAGTGAATTTTATTAATCATATATAATGCAAAAACACTATGGATTATTTTTTAACATTTAATCTTTTAATATAATTTTATTCCAATAACAAAATTCACTAAATATAATATAAAAAACAATGTCTAATTTCATAATATTTTGTTAGGTTTGTAACACTTAATTTATTTAAAAATCCCAATCAATAATAATCTATGTATGCTTTTCTAAAAAAAATTAACTAAAGTATCAAAATCATCATTTTCCTCCAGAGTTTTTTGGACAAAAAACACCAAAATTAAGTTTTACAAAAAAAAATAGGAAAAAAGTCCAAAATTTAAATGACTCGAAATACCTTGAATTAGTTTACACATTCAAGTTTTTTTAGCATTTAATTATTCCGAATTTTTCAATTAATAATATTAAATTAATGAAAAAGTAAAAGCTTAGAGTATTTTATATTAAGTATCATTTTTAAGTTATAGCTTTTTAACAAGAATATATAAGAATATAATATATTAAATATATTATATATATATATATTGCTTATATAAGAATAAAATATAAATTTAATATAAAAGAAATTACTAATATATATAAAAATTTAAATACATTGAAGTATTTTTTTATTTTTTAATAACTATCATTTTTCTTTATAAATGAAAAAATATTTTCATAATACTATTGATAAAATAAAAAATATACTGTTAAGTAATGTTTAGAAAGAAATATATAATATATGAGACTTAAAAGTAAATATGATATAAATTTTACACAAATTTGATTTTTTTTAATAGATTTAAAATAATGTTTAAGGCAATTAAAATAATAAAAATAATAATTTTTTACCAGAAAAAATAAATTGAAATTTTTTTAAATTAAAAAAAATATTTATAAAATGAATAGAAAATTATTATATGTTTCTTTAATAATATTAAATAATTTGTTAAAAAACTATAAAATTATGTATATTAATTAATATTTATAAGTAAATAAAATTATTTATCATTTTTTATTTTTATTTTATTTTTTAAAAAAATTGTTTTAATTATTTTATTTTATATAAAAAATAAAAATAAAAAAACGTCAAGGAAAACTAAATAAATAAATTCTTTATTTCATTTTATTTAATCTTTTTAAATCTATTAGCTAGGTTCTGTATCAGAGTTATATAATATACATGATTAATCTTTATAATTCTAATCATTATTTTATTCATATTTACCATTCATTTTTGAATATTTAATGCTATCAGCTTACATAATTGCTAATTTTGATCTTTTTAAAGCTTCTGTTTTAGACATAATTGATTTTCCAATACTATCTTAGATTGTTGAGGATTAATTATCATAATTATAATTGTTATTATTTACATATTTTTTTATTTATAATTCTAATTTTGATATTTAATTAATCAATTTATCATTTTCTTTTATTTTTTGAATTGCTTATTCTTTTTAATCTTCTAATTCTTTATGTAAAATAGCTAATCTTTCTTCATGAGATTATAAATGTTCTATTTCTAAAATGAGATTTCTATTTTCATTTTAATACTAATTGACTTATTTTTGAATTTCTTATAAATCTATTTGAAGTGCATTTATTTTTGATTTTTGATTTTAAATTTTAAATTTTTTTTATTGTATTTTACCCTTGTGTTTATTTTTATAATTTAGTTTTTTTTATTTATTTATTTTTACTTGTTTTTCCATTATATTTTCTTACAAATCATTAATATTTTTTTATAATTATTAATTTTTTTTTCTAAGAATTAATTAAGGTTATTTAATTCTGTATTTTTTTCATATTATTCACCAATTTCTTAATTTATGATTTCCTTTTCATTTTCATATTCAGTTATTTTATTTCTTTAAGTTTTATTTTTATTTTCTAATATTTAATAATTATATTTTGATTCTTATATTTATAATTGTAAATCATTTATAGTTATTTTATAGTTTTCTATATTCTTTTTTTTTTTTTATTATTTTTTTTTTATTTTATATTACATTATTTTTCTTTGCTAATTCTTCAAGTAATTTATTATTTTATTCTTTTAAAGTATTTATCATTTCTTAACTATTTTAATAATTTTCTTTTAAGTCATTTGTATTTGTTTCTAATTATTCATATATTAAAGCTATTTAATTTATATTTTATTTAAGACTATCATTTTCTTATTAATTTTATAATAATATTTCTTATAAATCTAATATTTTCTATGTATCTTCGATATATTGAATCTAAGGATTACTTCTTTCTTCTTAAAGTTTATCAACTAGATATTTATTCTAATCGATTAAAATTTCTATTTAATTATTTAGTTCTTCTATTTTTTATGTATCTTCAATTACTTATACCATATATGGAGGATTAACTTTTTTTACAGGGCTTTTATTACTTTATTTATAAGAATTATTTAATATTGTAGGATAATAATTATTTTCAGTATTTTTTTTAGGACTATATATTTAATTTGTATATTATACTTATTTTGGACTTTTCATTTTTAATTGTATAAATCTAAAAAAATTCAATAAATATTTTTTATATTATAATTTTATTATTTTTATTGTTAAATATTATGAAATATTTAATTTTTTAATTATATTATTAATGGTATATGTTTTTTCTATAATAATAATATTATTAAATAAATAAATTTAAAAAAAAAATACTTAAAAATTTTTTTTATTTATTTTAAATATAAATTTCATTGATTTTTTTTTTATGAAAATATAAATACTTATATTTATTTATATAAAAAATAATTATTTTAATTTAAATATAAAATATTATTTTTTAATATTAATTTTATTTAAATATAAAATATTAATTATTTTAAAAATAATACAATTTTTAAAGAATTTGATATATTTAATCAATTTATTTACAAAAAATAAAAAACTAAAAATTTATATTAATATATTTACTAAAAATTAAAAGATAAAAAATAAAAATTCATAATATATTAAATAAGAATAAAAGATTATAATATTTAAAAAAAAAAAAAAAAAAATCATAAATGCAGTTTTAATAATTAAATTAAAATGAATTCGATAATAATATTTAAAGTATTTTAGAAGATCCATCTAATTCATCAATTGACGTTTTATTAGAGTTGTAAAAACCAAAATCTTTCAAAGATAAAATTTAGACATTTATAGACCCATATTAGATTTTAATGTGTTATGAAAAAGTAAAAGAATCTAAAAACTTTACTTTAAAAAGATTATATTATTCTATTTTACATTTAATATATAACCATAGAATTTTAAGAAGTTAACAAATAAAAGCAATAATATAAAATAAAGAAGAAGACCTGAAATGTTTTTCATATAATACATAAGGAACAATATCAGCAATATATCGTTCTTAAATACATATAATATTATCTCAATAAAATAATAATATTTAGTTTAAAAACTATCAAATAATCATTATTTATATAATTTTATTATGCCTTCAAGTATACATCCAGATATATTTATTGGAAGTACAAGAAAAGAGTTAAGACTATTAAGATTTAAAAATAATTTTTTAGAATTAATAAAAGAATATAAAGGATTTGCATGCTAAAATGGATGTTTTAGTCCTGATGGTAGATATTTTGTATTTTCGAATTATTTGGATAAATAGTTATTTATAATTAATTTAATTAATCATGAAATTTTCGAAAGAAGTTTGGGAAATTAAATTATTCCTTGCTAAATGTAATTTAGCAAAAATGGACTTTATTTTTTAAGTGTTTGTCAAATTTCTAATACATTAAATGTCTATGAAACTATTTATTGGGAAAAAGTTGGTTTTTAATTTTCTAAGAAATCCATTCTGTTTGCTTTTTTTATTGAAGAAGAATCCTAAATTCCAGGAAGGGGGGGTTTGTATAATAATAATTCTTATTATTAAAGTTTAAATGAAAGTATTTTTGGAAAAAATAATATTTATTTGGTTTTTAAAAAAGGGATTTTAATCTAAAATAGAATACTTAAAAATATGCAATTCGTAAAATTTGATGAAAACGTAAATATTATTAATTTTAAGCTTTTAGAAAAAAAAAAATTTCATTAAATAATTAACGATATGCCTTCTAATATTTAATAATTTATGTTTGTGGATAATAAATTATTTTTTACTTCTAAAATCAATAATGAACTTTGTCATTTAAATTTTGTTAATTTTGATGCTTTTACTAAAAATATCTAGGTATAAAAATATAATGATTTGAATCCATAATCTAAGTTTTTTATTAAGCATTTGGAAAATAGGAGTCTTTAATTGAATTTAATTAATTTTAATATAAAAGATGCGAATTCTATATTCTTTAATTAAATTAATTTACCTTTGTTTTGATAATTTATTTAATAGAAAATTAAATATTTATATTTTATTTATCATATATTTATTTATTTTAGAAAAAATAAAAATAAAGATTTATATTTGATACTATGTATTTAATATTTTTTTTTTTTTTTCTTAGATTTTTTATTTATATATTAACGATAAATATAATTTTTTTTGAAATAGATAGTTTTATTTTGGATAAAATTTAAATTATTTATAAAAACAAAAAGCTTAAATAAAAAAATAACATTATAATATATATATATTATAAAAATTCTAGATATAATTAATCGATTATATTTATTTTTTTATAAATTTCAAGTGATTAATTAATATAAATATTAAATTATTTTTATTCAATTAATTTATTTAGATTAAGATAAAAAATATATAAATAATTTAAAATTAAGATATAATAAAAGAATTTTTCATTTAATCTAAAATATAGTAATACGAATAATAATTTCTTTATATAATAAAAAAAGAATATAAAAATAATAAACAAAAAAATATAAAATTAATTAAAAAAAAAACTATATAAAATATATAAATATTAAAAAGATAGTAAACTTAATAAATGATGAATAATTAATTATAATTTTGTAATTGTGAATTTAATTAAATATGTAATGCCTAAAATATATGTGTACATAAAAATTTATGGCCCCCAAATACTATAGAAATATGTGCATATATATTAATTCCAATATTAATTGGAATAAGTAATGTAGGTGGTTAAGGAGGAAGTATAGTTCGTGTACCTTTATTAATGCTAATGTTAAATTATTCCTAAAGTACTTCCGTGTTTATAAGTTTTATAATTTTATTTGGTAGTTGTCTTCCAAATAGTTTATTATTATTAACTAAGAGGCATCCATTTAAAGATATTCCATTAATAAATTTTGATTTAGTTTTAATTCTATTACCCAACCTTATAGTAGGGAATATTTACGGAATATTATTGACTTTAGTAGTACCTGAGTTTATAACTATTATATTATTTATATTATATTTATTTGCTATTACTCCTTACTTTTATAGAAAAGGCATGAAACTGTATAAAGAAAAGAAACATAAAGACTAAAAAGAAGTTTATTTATAAATTAATTTAAATAAAACTATTTAAAGACATAACATAAATGAAAACGTTAATACATATCAAGATGATAACAATAGTAATATTTCTAATTATAATAATAATATAGAAATATAAAGCCCATAATCTTAGTTAAATATTTCAAATACACGCGCAACTTAAAACAATGATAATACAAACTAAGAGACTTTAAAATGTCCATTATTAGAAAAAAAAACGAAGAAAAAATAAATAAATTTATATAAGAAAAAAAAAATTGAAAAGTATTTTACCAATTAAGAAAATACTGGCCATTATTGCTACTTTTTTAATTATTTAAACTATTCTTATGTTAAGATGTAGCTAGAAATTTGATTATTTGGGTATTAAGACTTATAATTTATATTATTATTTAATCAATCTGTTTCTCTTTATAGTAAATATAGCTATGTATTTATTTTTTAAAGATCGTTTTAAGACCAAAAGTTTAATAATTTAAATAAAAAAATAATAATAAATAGATTTAAATGAATCATAATATAAAGATAATGAATTTTCTTTATAATCATATAAATGTTTTCTATAAATTATTTCTTTGGGATTTATTTCAGGAGTTTTTGCAGGTTTGTTCGGAATAGGGTCTGGACTTACTATTGTACCAGCACTTCTATATTTAAAAATTGAACCGACAGTTGCAGCTGCTACTAATGGGTTTATTACATTTTTTTTGAGTTTGAATTCAGTTATTTTAACTATTACGGATAACATTTTAAGTTTGGAAACTATTATAGTGTTTTTCTTTATTGCATTTTTCGGAGGTTTATTTATTTCGAAAATCGTTTATAAAATTGTGGAAAGGAAAAAGGCTAATTATGCAGTTGTATTTATTGTTTTTGGATTATCTATGTTGAATATTTTGAGTAATATAATACATTTAATTATTAAAGGGTCTAATTAAGGATTTCATTCTTTAATGAATAATGAAATAGATTTTTGTAAGAGTTTTTGAATTATTTTTTATTTTTTTTAAATTATATTATTTTTTTAGTTTTTGTTGTAAAAATAAAAAAATAATAATTCCACACAAATTATGTTTTTTTTATGTTCTTTTACAATTATTTTTATTTTATATTATTGATTGAAAAGTTAAATAAAACTTTATTTTATTTATAGATACAAAAATAAGAAATAACAAAAAAATATATATCCACTAATACACTTATATATATATATAAAAAAAAACAATAATAATTATTAAAAATATAAAAATAATAAGAATAATTTAATGAAAAAAAGAAGTATCACATTTCCCTATTTTTATAAAATTTAGCAATATAAATTTTAAAATCTTAAAGATATTTTTTGGGATTTAATTTAGCTTTAATTTCCACATCCCTAATAAGATTCCCAATTTAACTAATATTCATTTTTTTATCGACATATTCTTCAAAAATACTCCAAGAAATCGCATAATACATATTATTAAAAACACTAATAACGCTTCTCTCTTAATTAATAAGAGAATTAAGCTTTTATTCTCTAGCTATTTACATAACAATATTAGTAACATTAATAAGGGTTATACATAAAGGGAAATTATAAACTTCATGATTAGAAATAACTAAAATATCCTTTAAATAATCTTTATATTAGCACACAAAAGCTAAAATTTATAATAATCCAAGTATACCTACCCCTCTTAAATCTGTAGAAGGATTTTTTCCTTGAAAACCTATTGATTCCCAATGAGAGCCGAATCTGAGACATTATTCTTGGTTTTAGAGTTAGCAAAAAATCGTAAAAAGTATGTTAAAATTTAAAGGATCTTAATCATCAAATTGTAATTTTGCAATAGCGAATATTTAATCTCTTTCATCTAACAAAGTAGGTGAGTTAATATTTTAATTTAAAAGCCCACAGGAACCAAATAATTTTTAAAAAATATGTTATTAAGAATTATTTGGTAAAATAGATGTCTGAATATTCTTTTTTAATTCAATTAGGTCTTTATTTTTTAAATATGTCCATGCTTCCATAAAAGATATTATTTTAGGATAATTATTATTTTGTTTTTTATCTAAATTTTATAAAGCCTTCATATTTATGGCTTCCCAATCAACAGAATTATCATCATTTATATTATTATTATTATTATTATTATTATTATTATTATTATTATTATTATTTTCAATTATTTTATTTTAATTATTTTCTTCTTTTTTATTTACGAATCGTTTTTTTATCGATTTCTATAATTTAATTATTATTTATTAAATCTATCATTTTTGCCTTATCTTGTAATTTATTAGCTATAGGAATTTATTTATGTTATAATATAGAATTTTATTGCAATTTTTATTATGCTATTAGTTATTTTTATTTAATTAATTGATTTTACTATTATTTTTCCTTAATATCATTTCCTTAGTTAATAATTTTTGTTATTTCTTTTTCTTTTTGATTATTTTCATCTTATTCTTCATCTTCCTCTTCTATTATTTTATTTATTTATTATTTTTTTTCTTCGTTATTATCAAAATTGAAATTATCATCTTCTTTATTTTAAGAATTATCATCATCACTATCAGCATTTTTTTAATTAACATTTGCTGTTTTTTCTATCCATTCCCCTATTTCTCCTAATTCTTCTTCATCATTTAAAATATTTTTTATTTTATTGTTCGGATTATAATTGAAATCTTATTTTTTTAATTAAACTTTATTATTTTTATCAATATTTTTATTTTTTATTTATTTTTTAATTTATGGCTTATTTTCATATATTTCTTTAAGTTTTTCTAAATCATCGTCTTATACTATTTTAGGAATTTTTTATTCAATTATTTATATTTATTAATCTTCTTATTCTATTTAATATTTATTTACTTTATTTTCTACTGGGGCATCCATATATATAAAATCACCATCTTTTTAATTTTTTATAATTTCTTTTGCACCTTCATTAAATGCTTTTAATATTTCTTCTTCATTATTATTTTACATATTTTCAAATTAATTAACTTTTTTTGTTTATTAATTGATTTTATTTTTATTTTTATTGATACAAGAAAAATGAAACAAGTAAAAAAATATTTAATTCATTAATAAAAATTAAATCAAAATTTTTTCTTAATAACCATAATTTTGAAACAAAAAATTTTCTATTTAGAAATATATTAAAAATATTTTTAATATGAATATAAAAATGGTATAAATGTTTAATATATAACTTTTTTAATATATACTTGTATTTATTATTTGATTTTTTTTATTTCTTATATAAAAAAAATAAAAAGTAGATTTTTAATTAGAATGTTTAATATTTTATTATATTTATAAGTATATTTTTTTAATTTAACTAATATTTTAATCTAAACAAAAGTAATTAATATGCTTTGCTAATACTTATAATTTAAGTAGTAATTGTATACAATTTATTTTATTAATATTTATTTGTAATTAAAATTCTTATAAAATAATATTATAAATAATTATATATTTAAAAAATTAGAAAAAATGCATTTTTTATTAATTATTTAAATAAATTTAAAATATAATAATTAATTAATTTATGCTTAAAATGAATGATAATTAAAAAAAAAAATGATAAAATTTATTCGTATTTTAAGAAATAAATAAATAAAATATATAGACACTACTTATTATATTTTTAAAATAATAAAACATGTAATTTTAAAATTATTCAGTAAATACTTCATAAATTTTTTGTTAATATCTATTCATTATATTTTAATTTATTTAAAATAAAAATATAAAACAATAAATAATTATTATTTATCAAAATATCGATTAAATAAAAATTAATGAAATATTTTTAAAGTTAACATTTTTACCTAAAAATTAAAATAAATAATATATTAAAATTTAAATGTATATATTATTTAAACTAATAATTATTTTATTTTAAAAAAATAAAATAAAATAAGAGTAATTTAATAAAAAAATATTAAAAAAAAAATAATATTAATTTTATTTTATTTTATTTTATTTTTTAATTTTTTATTAAATTATTAAAATAAAAAAAATATTAATTATAATTAAATATTTATTGAAGTTATAAATATGATATATAAATTTTTAAATACTTTATTTTTTTATGTATTTTTTTTACAGTATAAATCGATTTTTTAAATTACTTTTATAAATCTTTATGTTACGCGTTTTAAAAATAACTTTAAAAAATTATAAATAATCTAAATAAAATAAAATATCCATAATAATATATTAATTAATAAAAAAATTAATATGTTAGTTATATATTTACATATAAAATTAACAAATACAAAAAAAAAAATATTTATAATAAACAAAATATTTATATGGATTGTGAAAAATAAAAGAATTATCCGAATTGTAAAAATGAAGAAACAAAAAGTATTAAAAAAGGCCCATGGAACTAAAAAGAGGATGTTTTACTTTTAAATTGGATAAAAGTTTACGGTCCTTCAAAATGGTCTTAATGTGCTGAAACTATAAAAGGACGTACAGGAAAATAATGCAGAGAAAGATGGTTTAATAATCTAGACCCTGAAGTTAAAATAGGTTTTTGGAGTCCTTAAGAAGATAACTTAATATTTGAGGGATATTTAAAAAATGGATCGTCATGGAGTGCAATAGCTAAATAAATATAAGGTATTAAAAATTAATTATAAGTTATTCATTAATATTTATATGTTATTGAAGTAGATTTTCAATTATTACTAATATCTTTTATTTTTTTAAATAATTAATATATTTATATATTAATTTTATTATTTCAATTAAAATTAAAGGGAGAACTGAAAATTCAGTAAAAAATAGATTCTATAGTACAGTAAGGAAATTATTAAGCGATTCTGATAAGGATTTGGTTAATAAAATGACTCATTCATAATTAAAATAAATAATATAAAATGAAATGAATAAAAAAAGAAAAATGGATAATAAACAAAAAATATTGATGAAAGTCCTAATAAATAATAATAATAGATATAGTAAATTTAAATTATAAATAATATTATTATTAGTAATAATAATATATATAGAGTAACGGAAAACAATTTTGATAATAAGCTAAGTATATTTAATATTTAAAAAGAAAATATATAAAAAGAAATAGATCATGTGAATATTCTGAATAGAATTTACTTTACAGGCTTTTAAGATCTAATGATGTTGAAATCAAAAATACGAAATGTTTATAAGACTACTCTTTATTTTATAAACAAAATAAAAACTTAAATAATTATAATAATAATATTTATAAAATGATGTGAATTAAATTTAAAGTGAATAAATAGATAATGAAAAAAAAAAAAGAATTATGAAATTAAACAATAAAGCAATTTTGAATAGAAAAAATAGGAAATTCTGAATAATTTAATAAATGAAGAAAATGAGGAAGATTTAGAACACTAATTTTATCATAATAATGAAGATAGTTTTTAAAATATTGACAAAGAGGAAATTTAATAATGTATGATAAAGTATTTTTAATAAAACATACACATGTTATTATAAAAATTTATTGATTAAAAAAAGAAAAATGTAAAATTAAAAAATTATAAAATGATTTTATTTATATTTCATTATAAAATATAGGAGAAATTTTATTAATGATTTTATTAATAATAATAAAAAAAGTTAAAAATTTTAAAAAAATTAATAACACAATTAAAATATATAATAATAATAAGAAAATAACATTAATAATCTATAAAAAAACAATTAATAATAAAATATTTAATAAAACAATCAATAAAACAAATAATAAAATATATAATATGATATATAATAAAATACATAATAGAATATATTAGAAAAATAAAATAATAATAATATTAATAATTAAAATATTATTTCTAATTCAAATAACAGTTTTATTTATTAATAAAATATTAATTAGTAGAATAATAATAATCTTTATGGTTACTCTCATTCTTAACAAATAAAAAAAAAATTGAAGAATAAAGTAGTTTATATAACTTCAAAGGGGAGAATTAAAAAATAAGTCTTTTAATAAATTAATTAAATAGCCTTGAAAATATGTTATCTTAAACTAAATCTGAATTAGATAATTTAAAGTCTTAATTTTCAAATTAATGTTAAAAAAATAATAATTAATAAGAATATAATAATAATCAATTAGAATATAATAAATAAAATAATAATTATGATTATAATTAATAAAATATATATAATTAAAACAAATATTTTCCTTAATTTTAAAATTATCATTAATAATGATATTTATAAAAGTTACTTTAAAAAGTTTTTTTTTTTTTTTGATAAGAAAAAAAATAAACAATACAATGGTATATATATTAATTAAATCTATAAATAAATAATTTATAATTTTTTTCACTTAGTATTTTATATATTTAAAAAAATTAAATTAATAGAATAAATGTATACACATATTTTTATAAATATCTATCAATACATTTGAAAAAAATAAAAATAAAATAAGAACAAATATAAAATAAAAAAATATAAATAAAAAATATATATGATACATCTTGATCCTCTTGAAGTAAAAAGATAATATGATAGTTTCTAAGTACGTCCTCTAATGACTTTTAATTAAATTTTATAAAATATAGAATATTTAAAGCAGAACTAAATATATCCTATATCAATAATTGGCTCTGGAAATACTTCCTTTTTATTAAAATGTAATCTTATTCTAAGAAACAACTAAGTATGCTAGGTAACTATAAGATCCTAAACAATTAATAATTATAGTCTATTAAGTAATATTATAAGCGATTATTAATAATAGAATAGTTTAAATTACACTAATTTGAGTATTTATCCTTTCTTTTTGTATGCTAAAGATTTAGAAATTTTTAATTTGATACAATATGATGTTTTTTATGAAAGTATTGAATTTTTCTTTAAAAAAATTAATAGAAAATTAATAATTAGCATAAAAATTAATGGATGATTTAATTAGCTTAAAGTATAATTTATTTACATGATAAAAATATACTTCATAATAATATTAATAGCAAAAATGTTTTTGTTGATGAAAATTTTAACATTAAAATTCAAAAAATAGGATTTGGAAGAAAACTATCATTATATAAAGATATTTATGATCTAGCAATTCTTTTTTGTCAAATAATTTTCGGGTTTGAAGGTCCTTGTGTTGAAATAAATACTTTAAAATCAGGAAATTTTCTTAATGTAAGTATTTATTAGAATTAAGATATTTGGATTAGATAAATGATATATTTAATTAATTTAATGGTTGATGGTTAATAATAAGTTAATATTTATTTCGTTAATGAGTTTTTGGAAAATGTTATGTGTGGAAGAAACGATGAATATTTAGATATGTGTTTAAAAAGTGAATAAATTAATTAAAATGGATAAAATATAAAAAATTATGGAAATAATTAAGTTTAATTTTAAGAAGAATAATAATAATAGTTATTAAAAATTTAATAATAATATATGTATGTTTAATAAGTTTAACAATAATTTTAATTGTATTAATAATAATAAATATAATAATAATAAATTTGTAAATATTAAAAAATTTAATAATAATAGTAAATTTGTTAATAATAATAATAAATTTAATAAAAAAAGTAAATTTAATAAGAATAATAATAAATATAAGAAAAATAAGTTTAATAAGTAGATATAGATGTTAATGAGGAATTATAAAAAATTATAAAATATAAATAAATGTAATAATAATAATAATAATAATAATAATAATAATAATAAGGATTAGAAATTATAAAAGAACAATAAGAACATGAAAATGAATCTGTTAAAAGTTTGTAAAATAACTCGGAAAATTAAAAAATAGTTTAAAATAATAACAATTAATAATTAAATGAATAAAATAATGAAAAAGAAGATAAAGAATTTAAAAATCAAACCTAATAGAAATACTAAGAAATATTACCTATAAATGAAGATTAAAATAATTATGAATATTCCTATTCTTTAGACTTTACCGTATTAAGAGATGTAGGTAATGAAAAATACATTCCTAAAAGTTATTTAGAAAAAGATATAGTAGAAGTAGAAATAAAACAATAGAAGAATATAATGGATTTATTTAAAAAAAAAAACAAAAAAAATTAACAATTATTAGAAACTGAAGAAAAATAAGAAAATATTTAAGAATAAAATGAAACAAATACATATACTGGTGATTTAATTAATAATTTAAAACATGGAATAGGAAAACTATTTAATGAAAAAGGAGTACTTATTTACGAAGGAGAATTCGAAAATGATTAAATAAATGGAGAAGGAATTTAATACTATCCATGTGGAAGTGTTAAATATAAAGGAAAATTCGTTTAGGGAGAACTTGATGGATTTGGAGAATTTTATTATGAAAACAATAGTATTTGCTATTAAGGGGATTTTAAAAATGGATTGTTTGACGGATAAGGAAAAAAATTTACTAATAAGGGAGTTCTTTTACTAGAAGGTGAATTTAAAGGTGGAAAAAAACATGGATTCTTAAAAAAATTTAACTCAGAAAGTGGTTATTTAGAATTCGAAGGATAATATATTAATAATAAAAGATCAGGAAAAGGAACTGAGTATTATGAGAATGGAAGAGTGGCTTTTGAAGGAGTCTTTTAAAAAGGAAGAAAAAGAGGGTTGGGACATATTTATGATGAAAATGGAAATTTTTTAAGAGAAGAACATTTTGAGGATGAATATTGATGATTTTTTTTTTTTTAAATATTATTTTAATATAGTATTAATATGAAAAATAATATTTTTTATTTATGTATTTATAAATTATGTTATTTTTTATATATTTTATTTTTTTACATTAATAAAATATATATTTTATCTTTTTAATTTTTTATAAAAATTTAAAATTAAATTATCTTTTTATATATGTACATAAAATTTTTGTATAAAATGTTTATATAATTTTTAAACATAATTTATATAATATAGTTATTTATTATTTATTTTTAATAATAATTATCTTATAATTTATTAGTTTTTAATTAAATGAATAAAATAAAAATATAATTCATTAACAAATATTAATATTAATATTAATAAAAATAAAAGAAAAAAAAATATGTAGTACATAATTAATTTTATATACAAATGTTAAAATTTAATATTATATATAATTTTAGAATATAATGAGAATTTTTATGTTATTAAATGAAATTAATTCAATTGAAATTATAAGTCATAAGTTTATTACTTATAGCTTAAATTTCAAGTTTAAAATATAAATATGAAAATATCATAATATTTTTATAAAAAAATGTAAAAAAAATAAATAGAAAATATAAAATTTTTAAAATATATTAAAATAAATATAATAATTTATAAATTATAAATTTATAAATATATATATATAAATATGAAATATATATATAATATATAATTAATTTTTATTATATATTTTTTTAATTTTAATATTTATATATAAAAATTTTCTTTATAGTATTTTTTTATTCATATTAAATCTTATAATTAAATGAATAATCATTTCATTTTTACATATTTATATGAATATACGATTTTTCATTTTTTTAATTAAACATTGTATTATTTAATTAACCACATATTAATAACTTTATAAATTTTTAAAAAAGATATTAATAATTTATTTAAAATTTGTTTACGCTTTTAATACTTTAATTAATATTATTTATATAAATAAAGCATTTAATATATATAAATAATTTTTTTTTAAGATAATTAATAGTATTTATATAAAATTAAAATATATATATTTTTTTTTTATTATTAACTTCTAATTAAAAAATTCGTATATTTGCGTTTTATATTATTGATTTTATATATTTTTAAATATGTTAAGATTAAAAAAAAAAATTTAAATAAGTTTTAATTGTAAAAATAAATGTACTTATAACACCATATTATTTTATTTTACATAATAAATTGTTTTTGTAATATTAAAAATTAATTATTAATACTCTTTATTTAGAAATAATATATTATAGTACTATTAAATGATAATATATATATATTTTTTTACTTAATTAATTATTATAATTTCTTTTTTTTTTTTTTTTTATTAACTAAGAATATTAAATTTTATTAAACTCTTATTTTTATTAACAAATAATATACTATTTAAAAAAAAATTAAATCTATATATTTAATCAAATAAAATGATTTTCCTAAATTTTGTTTTCATAATGTTCATTTATTAATTTTTCAACTTTAAAATAAACACTATCATCTGGGTGATTACATAAAGCTTCAAGTATATTTTCAAAACCATAAGCCGATAACTTATGTTTAATAGGACATACATAATCTTAATCTTAATCATTATTTTCTATTTTATATTATTTAAGTAAATTATCTAAGCCTTCTAAAGAATTAGTAATAATTTCTTAGTCTTATATATTAAACATAGATACATAAGCCTTTAAAATATTATTTTCTATTAATCTATTCAATTAAAGTTTATTGCATTTTTATATAAGGATTAAAAATAAAAAGCATATTTCACGTACATTCTAAATTTATCAAATAAATATTTTTTTTACAAAATATATAAAAATAACCTAATAAACATCTTTTTCGGCTAATTAGATTATTTTATCTATAACTCTTCCATAGTCAAGTATTTATTCTATTTATAATTCATTTGCTTCATATACAATATTATATAAACTCCATATTGCTTCTTTTCTTAAATCAAATTATGCACTATCTAAGGATTTGTCAATATATTATAAATAGTTTTTAGAAAATAAAAACTATTTAAATATATATTATATTAAATATTTAATTTTTTTTATTACTTCTATTAAATTATTTGTTATTGATAAAATATTACCTATAATTGATATTACATATTATTAAAATTCATTATAGTTAAAGAAATTTAGTAATTATTCTATTAGTTATTTATTATCTAATTATTAACATATTTCTTGATATTTTGTTAATTAATATAATATTTAACATCCATAAAAATTTAAATTTATATCATTTTACTTTAAATAATAAATACTTTGATTTAAAATAAATAATTAATCTTCCTTTTTTATAAATTAAATTAATAAAATAAATATTCTTTATTACTATTTAAATGTTTAAATTATCAATATGAATTGTTATTGATTTTATAGCCCAAGCAATATCTTATTACAATTCCGAATCTTTTTAGAGTAAATCAGAAAATCCTTTTAATAATGACAATCCTTAGTTATCATAAAAAAATTATGCTGCTTATTAATAATCTATACATAAAGAAGATATTCCGCATATTCCCTTTATTATTTTATAAAAAAATAGAATATAATATATCAATTCTATATTTTTTTTATATATTTTTATGATACTGTTTAAATTGTTTTTATATTTTAATCATTTTTAAGCAAATTCATAAATGCCTGTATTAAATTTTATAAATTATTTAAAATTTTTTCAAATATTTTTTAATTTCCATTAATAATACAAAAATCAATAATTAATCCCGCATTAACTTTAATTTCTTCATTAAATTAATCAGACATGTAACTTAATAAATGATTAAAAATACTTCCTATTATTATTCGTTCTTACATATACATACTTGAATTATAAATTAAAAGTTCTTTTAAAATTAAAAGCTTTTCTTCTAATATTTTAGGATTCGCTGCTAAAAATATTTATTATTTTTCAAATTAATTTTGTAAATTATCAAAATAAGAAAATAATTCCTTTTTAATAAAATTTATTTATAATTTTTGCTTTAATATAAAATATTTATCATTTTTACATTTATTGTTTAAAATTAAATTTTTGGTTCTTTTTCTTAATTTGCTTGATCTAGATCTTAATTTATTTGGCGCTATAATAATTTGATTCTATTCATTTATAAAACTTTAGTCTTTTTAGACTATCTTATTTCTTTATGAAATTAATCTCGCTTTAAAGCGATCATTTGATTAGTGATATCATATTAATTTTAAATTTAGTTTAAGTTTTAGTTTTATTCTTTATTAATAAACATATTCATCATTTTTTTGTAAAAAAATAGTAAAATATTTTTTATAATTTTAAAAAAAAAAATTGTATATAAAAACATTAATAAATTTATAATTAAAAAAATATAAATAAATTTTTAATATTTAAAATATATATTTATAATTTTTATACAATCATAAATTTTTAAACTAAAGTAAAATATAAATATTGCAAATTATTATAATTTAAATTTAAAAAAACTATTTAATTATATAAACATTAGTTTGTATAATAAATTAAAAAATAATAAATATATTTTTATAATTTAATTTTCATAAAAAATTATATTAAATTTATTTTAATTATTATTATAATTAATAAAAATTAAAATTAAGATATAATATAAAAAAAAATTACATATATATATATATATTTTAATTATATTATAATATGGATAAATATTATTGACTTATAAAAATACAAAATTAAATTTATATTGTTTAAGAATTTAATAATAGATATATAATTTTTATATATAGATATTAACTTATATAATATTGTTAATATCAAGATTTTTGAGATTAAAGAGAATTTAAATTTAAGTGAATTTCTTCATTTAATTTATGGTTTGATTATAAAAGAGATTAATAAGAATTCATAATCAGAAATTATGATTATACTAATTTTAAAAGAAACATTTATTATAATAATATTATTAATAGGGAATATAAATAGGAGCATATTAGTTGTTCAAAAATTTGGTTAATTATAATTTATATTTCATCTACTCAATATTTTTTTATTTTTCTAGATTTAAATCATTTATCAAATTATTTTCATTTTTTTCAATTTTTTCCTTTGAAATTTAAATATTGGTTTCGTTTTAAGTTTTTGAAATGACACTTCCTGCTTAAGTTGAGATAATTTAGCAATTATTAGTTTATTTTACATTATCTATGTTTTTTATTATACATATTTTAGATTTATATTAATATTTAGTAGTTTAGTTTAATTTTCTAAATTTTATTCTGTAAGCATTAAGAATTGTTTTAGCTGAAGAATAGTTAATGTCTAATTCTTTTGCAGCCTATATTATTTTATTTAGATAAATATATGTTTAATATATATATATATTTTAATTACGAATTTTATCTTTTGGCTTTTGAAAAAAACTCTTTATATTAACTTTTGTCTTTTTTTAGAAGAAATACGTTAATATTTTCTTTATTATTGTATGTTTTAGTCAACTTAAATTTCATTCATTTAAATAGAATTATTATTTTCTTATTATACTTACTTCATTAAATTAAACTAGTAATCTTTTTTTTGAAACCTTTTTTTTATTTTATAAATATATTTATTTTTATTTTTATTTAAATTTTTTTTTTTTTTTTTTAAATTATACTTTATACTTTAATTGTTATTTTACGACTATTTATCTACTTTAAAATATTATATGGTATTTAAAGGTGAAAAATAAATATATTTAAAATTATAATAAAATAATTACAAATTAAAATAATTTTTTTTATATATATATAGTAATTAATTCTATTAAAAACTTTTTTTTAAAAAAGTTTATTTACATTTACACAGATATGCCTGATAACTATATAATAAATGAAAAAATGTAAATAACATACAGTATATAAGTCATCAGACTAAAAAATAAACTAAACTATATACGAATTAATTATAAATATAAAATAAACATATAGCTAATTAAGTTATATAAAAAATTATAAATCCATTTTCTAAAATTGTCATATATATAATTGATATAAAAAGATTTTTTTAAATAATTTAATATTATTTTTAAATAATTTTATTTGTCTTAGTATATTTATACTTATTTAAATTAATATATAAATATAGGTTAATATTTTTTCAATAATAAAAAATACAAAATAAGTTAATAGAAAGCTATTTTATATATAAAAGTAAAGTTAGTTTTTTATTAGTCCTATAAAATCTATTTAGTTTATATCAATTTTTTAATTTATGTTTTATTTATTATTAGTTTTTATAATATATAAATGGGGGGACTTATATTAATTTAAATAATTATATTTGATATAACTAATAATTATATTTTATATAACTAAAATTATATTTTTAAACAATTAATGTTACTATTAATAATTTTAATATGAATTTCAATACAAAATTCTTAATTTAAAAATTGAAGAGATTTTTTGTTAGATAAGAATTATAATTTTTTAATTTTGTCAATTTTTATTTTAAAAAAATTTCTCATATTTAATTTTTGTAGATTGAGTTTTTAAAAAGAGTTGTAGAAAAATAAAAGTAATATGTATTTTTATTTTGATAAATTTTTTAATAAAATTAATTTTGAACAAAGATATAATTAGTTTTTTGGAATACATATAAATTATATTTTAAAATTTAAATATTACTATTATATTTTAGTTTTTATTATTATAAGGATTTTTTTTATCTGATAATAAATAATTTTTTATTTATCAAAAATAATTTTAGACTTTTTTTAATAATTTTTTTTTTTTATTATTTCTTTTGAACAAAAAATAAAAAAGAGATTATAACAAATATAAAAACTAAAATATAAAAATAAATAAAAACAAATAAATAAATAAAATAATTTGATGATAAATAATAATCTATTACATAAATAAATATAAATAAATAAATTATAACATAATAATAATTAAAAATCATATGGCCCTTACTAAATATAAATTCAAAAATGTTTTCGGTTAACCTCTCCAAAGATGGGATGACTTAAAGCCTTTAGGAGCTACAACAGACGGTTTTGTGATAGATGCAAATCAATCATTTATAGCATTTGTTTTATCTTCAGGAGGTGGAATAGATTTGGGAATATTAAACCATAACTAAACTGGAAGAGTATAAAATATTCCCCGTTTAAGAGGTCATTAAGGGCCTATTACTGACTTCAAATTTTTACCTCATTTAAATAATCTAATAGCTTCATGCTCGGAAGATACTACAATTAAAATATGGTAGCTTTAAGATGATAATAAAGAAGATATTGTCTAACCATAGTAAAATTTAAATGGACATCATAAAAAAATTAACTTATTATGCCCTCATTTACACTCTTAGGGAATTCTTGCATCTTCATCATATGATAATACAGTTTAAGTAAAAAAAAAAAAAAAAAAAAAAATTAAAAAAAAAAAAAAAAAAAAAAAAAAAATATATATATATATATATATATATAATAACAAAATTAAGATATGGGATATAGAATAAGGAAAAAGCTTATTTAGTATAAAATAAGATTCTAAAGTCGCTTTATCTCTAGATTGGTCTTAAGAAGGTTCAATTTTAGGTTCTTCTTGGAACGATAAAATGGTAAAAAAATATATATATATTTTATATTATAAAAAAAAAGACGAAAATAATCGATCCTAGACAATAATAAATAGTAGAATAATTTTAAGCTCATTAAGGTTATAAAGCTTAGAAATTCGCATGGATTGAAGGTAAATAAACTTTTGTGACATGTGGATTTGATAAACAGACTTAAAGATAATTAATATAATGGGATATGAGAAACATCTAATAATAAATAGAAATTAAAGGAGTGCATTAAAATACGGGAATTTTATAACCTTATTTTGATAATGACATTGGAATATTATACTTAACAGCGAAAGGAGAAGGCAATATAAGAATTTTCGAATATACTAATGGAAGTTTTATTACTCATGGTAATGATTATTAAGTCACTGATACTACTAAAGGGTATGGATTTTACCCAAAAAATGTGATTGATGTTCAAAAAAAAGAAATTATGAGAGTTATTAAATTATGTGGTAGCTATGCTTAGTCTATTTCTCTTATCTGCCCAAGAAAATCTGATTAATTCTAAGAAGATTTATATCCTGATTTTGCTTATGATTATTCTTAGTAAGCAAATAATTGGGCATAGGGAAACGATTGTTTGGCTAAAAGAATGAAATTTTTGAATAGATAAAGCGATAATATAAATTAAATTAATAATAATATTAATTTTAATAAATAAGTAAAATAATATATTTTTATATTTTTTAAAAATAAAAAAAAACTAATAAAAGGAAAATTAAAAAATTAATAATAATAATAATAATAATAATAATAATAATAATATAATGATATTAATAATAAAGATATATAAGATATATTTACTTAAATTAATAACAATTATTCTCCTTAAAAATAATTAAATAATAACACTTTATAAGATATAAATTTATAATAATAGTTATAATAAAAATCTAATTTGTAATTTTTACAATAAGAAATTTTATAGTAATAATAATAATAGTTTGATTAGATTTTATAAAAATAATAAAATAATGATTAAATTACTAAAGATTTTTAAATAAATTAAAATAACGATAATAATGATAGTAATCAAATTAATTAAAATAATTAAAATAATAAATTAAATTAAAATAAATAAAATAACAAAAATTTACTTAAAAACTTATTTAATAATAAGAAGATCTTATTAATAATTTAAATTTAGCAATTGAAAATAATAACTTCGATCAAATCTAAGACACAGCATAATAAATCAAAGAAACATTTTAGTTTTTAAAAGAAAAAATTTTTTGAAAATTATAATCATAATTTATTTAAAAATATAATATTATAGAATTTAAATTCGAATAAAATACAATTTTACTTAAATAAATAAAATTTTTATTAAATTTATATAATAAAATTATTATATATATATATATTAATATATAATATTTATTATTATTTTTATAAAAAAAAAATTAAAATAATTTTTTTTTATAAATTATCTGATTATCTGATAGGATAAAAAAATATAATTTAAAATTAAATTTATAAAATATAATATAAAAATTATCATTATTAATTTTATTAATTATCTTTTTAATTTTACGCATTTTATTAAATTTTAAAAGGTTTTCTAAATCTCGCTTATAACCAAACTCTATACATTTACAGGCCAGTTTTTCTATTTTCGAGATATCTATTATGTACATTATTTTCGATTTCTTCAAATCCTGCGTTTATGAAATAACTAGAAATTTCTTCTTTACTGAAATAATAAACTCTTGTTCCATCATGCTTTACATAAAAATTATCTTTTAATTTCCTTCCTTTTTTTCTTGAAAAATTAAGTTAAGCAAAATCATATAAACCATAATCTCTAAAATAAATAACACTATCTTCTTTCATCCAATTAAATATTTTTTAAATTACCATCTAATGGTTTTCAGGAGCTATGGCACTTAAAACAAAAATAAGTGTCACTATATCTGCTGCAGGGTAAAATTCTACCGGAAAAGGGTCATTAACTAAATCTTGGATAGTAGCAATTATTTTCTCAGGGTCATAAGAAGGGGCTTTTTTTACCCATTCAATAGCTTTTTAGGAAAAATCGCTAGCGTAAAATTTCTTTATAGTTGGATATTAAGGCATAAGAGGATATATAGTATCACCTACACCACATCCTAATTCACACATAATAAAGGAATTTTCTTTATTTTCAGGATTGTTCATTGCTACTAATTCTTGAAATTCTTTGTATAAGTAATGACGATTGTGGAAAAAACCTAGTTTGTGGTGCTTGTAAAATTTATTCCATTATATATTGTTTTATTTATCAATTTTTTAATATTATTCTTCTTCTAATAAATTCATGTCTTGGCTTATCATTTCTTTAGCTTTTTATTCTAATTCATCATTCCTATATTTATAAATAATATATATATATATATATATATATATATATATATATATATATATATATATATATAAAAAAAAAAAATATATATATATATATTATATTTTATTTCTTTATATAATTATCGATTTACCATTAATAAAATAAGACGGGCATAGTTTATTTTCCTTTTTTATTTATATCATATTTTTGACGTATTTCTTCTCTTAATTTTTATATTTAATCTGGTAATATTTATTCCCAAGTGGATGGTTTTTATTCAAGATTCATTTGTGTTTTTTATAATTTCTTTTCAAAAGGTTTTAATTTTTTAGAAATTTAGGTTTCCATGTTTTATGTTTTTTTTTCTTCATTATCTTCTTCGTTTTCTTCTTCTTATTATTAATCTTCTTCATATAATTATTTTTCTTAATTTTAATTTTATTACGCTTATTCTGTCATTCTTTTTAAGTTTCTATATTTATTATTTATGTAATATTTTTTTATTTATTTTTAAGGTTAAATATATAATATTAATATATTTATATTGATTGTCTCTTTATATAAAATTTGATAAATTAATAATTCTGAATTAATTTTTTTTTAAAAGCATGCACATAATAATAATATTAAATTTTATTTTTATATACACAATTTACAAAATAAAAATGATAAAAAAAAATATATTTTTCTTTATGATTGAATTTTTTTAATAATAAAATACATTAAAAACAAACGATTCTAAAAAGTAAAAAACAAAAAATACAAAAATTTCTTATTTTATTTTATAAAATATTTATTTTTTAATAAATTTCATAATTCTTTTAAAAAAATTAATTAATTAAATATTTTAATGTAATTAATTAAATTAATTTAATTGAAAAAATTAAATAAAAAAAAGGATGAAATAATAAATATATAAAATTAAACTAAAATTATTATTTATTTTAATAAAAATAAAGGAATTTTTAGTTTTTTAAAAAAATAAAATACAAAAAAACAAAAACAATTAAATAATAGAAAATAGGAAGAGATCTTTTAAATTACCAAATTTTAGAAAATGAAAAATAAAAAAATAAAATTCAAAAGAATAATTTAAGCTCCAAATTCATATTTCATGGATATAAAATGTATGAATTGCTAAAAGGTTTAAATGATTTTTTCACATGCATAATCTACTATTCTTTGTGAAAAGTAATTTAATTTCTTATTTAAAAAAATAATATATTTTTATACTATTTTATATAGTTGTTCTGCCATATTATGTAAACCAAGTGGAGGTAAAGCTTAAATTACTCCAGGATGTGCTTTTAAAATTAAAAATTGAGAAATTTAATATTACAAAAAATTATAATATAATCAAATAATAATTATCGATATTACAAATATTTGAGTTTTATACTTTTTTATAAATAAAAAAAAATATTTAAATTCTAATAAAAAATTATTATAAAAAATTATTTGATAAAAAGTTATATTAAAATATTATTATATAAATATATCTAATATTTATAATTTTTTTTTTTATATTTAAAAAAAAATACTTTTATTATAAAAATTTTGTTAAAAAAATATATAGTTTAATTTATTATATTTATTGTATATAAATTTTAACCTTTTTTAAAAACAATTTTAATTTTACTTTTTGCTTTCGTTAAATTGTTATTTTTACTATATTTTTATTCTTTCTAAATGTTTTTATTTATTTATTAACTAAGTAGTTATTATAAAATAATTGTATGATTTTCTTTTTATTGTTCTTAACTTTAAGTTAGAAATAATTATAATAAAAGCAAAAATAACAAAAATAATACTAAATATTATATATTAATTTTATTCTATGTAATAATTAATTTTTTTTTATATTTAAGATAATTTTTTTATTTAGTGATATGTTATTTCTTTACAATTTATTGATTTTTTTTTATTTATGTAAATTATTGAATAATAATATTATTATTTTAATTATGAATTATTAATAGATTTTTTTTAGTGATAAAAAAATAATTATTTATGGATATACATAAATAAAAAAATAAGATATAATAAAGATAAAATGACTATATATATATTTAAATTATAGATAAAAAATTAGTTAAGTAATTTATATTTTACAAACGAAATAACAAAAATTAAAAAATATACAGTTTATAATTATTTTCCTATATCTTTGTTTTTAGATTTTATGAAAGCTGCAAATTTTTATTTTTTTATTTGTTACAATAATATAATCTAAAATTATATTTTCTCCTTTATCTCCAACTTCAGAAATAGGCCCTTTTGTATTGGTTTAATATGTATCTTTATCAAAAAAATTTTAAGAAGATATGTATATTTTATTAGAGTATTATGAATATTTATATTTAATTACATTATATTATATTATATTAAATTATTTAAAGAAATAAAAATGATGATTTAGTAAATAAATAAAAATGTTATTTATTTCAAAATTAAAATTTTGTGCTTGTGAATTATATATAGATCAATGATATAATAAAAGTAAAAATAATTAGGTAAAAAATACAAATGATTATTTCTTTATTAATTAACTATTATATATATATATATTAAAATCTTTTAATTTAAATAATTAAATATTTTAAAAATCTGAGAAAATGAATACTATTATTATTAATAAATAATTATTAAAAATATCTGTTATTTATATTACTTTTACTTTATTATTATTATTATGATTATACTTGCAGATATTCTCATAATGACAACTAGTGATAAGAAAGAAATTTCTTATGTTGAATAATATGATTTTCAAATATTCAATTAAAGGCATAAATGAACATTCCGAACACAAATTATTTAGCTTATTATCTAAATTGGATTATTCTAAATTATTATAAAGTGATAAATATAAAGAGTTTCTTGATTTTTATCTATATGCAATATTATGCCATGATGTAGTTATAGAGAAAAAAGATAAAAAAAAATATTTTTTAAGAATCTTCCTTATACCTTGATAAAGTTTGCTTAGTTTAGTCAGCTTGTAAATATAATTTTAAATTTTTAAAAAGTAGATCAAAATAAATTTTAATAAAAATTATGAATTAATTTATTTATTTTTAGATTTTTAAATTAAATTTATTTTATAAGTGAAAGAAAAAGGAAGAGTATAATAATATAAGTAATATATTATTATTTTATTTTGTTATATAATACTTTTTTTTTTTTTTAAGATGACGAAAACATTTTTATTTATAGTAAAGGTGAAGACACTTTTTTTAATATAAAATCTATCTAAACATACTTCTGTGGATTAAAAAAAAACTGTTTTTTAGAGTTTAAAAAGATATTCATAAAAAATTTTATTTTTATTTAATAGAAATTTTAGTTCTTTTGTAAAAATTAAATCAAATAAAACAAAATATTATAATTATTTTCAATAATACTTTTTTTTTTTTTTAAATCGTTACTCTAATTTTATTATAAAAAGTCTTTAATAGCATGTCATATTTAAAATTATAAAATATATTACCAAAAAAAAAAGAATTTAGAGATTTATTTATATTTAAAAAAAAAATATAATAAAAACCATTACTTAATATAATAAAAAAAAACTCAATATTAATATTATTCAATATAAAATAAAAAAATTTATTTGGGTAAAAAAGATATTTTAAATTATTTTAATAACTAAAAATATATAAAAAATAAATATCTTTTTAAATTATAAAGGAATGATTTAATTTACAAATTATATTAAGAAAATAATATTTTTTTACTAAAATTATTTTTTAACAAAATAAAAATAACTTTTATTTCATAATTGAAAATTACAACTTTTAATTATTGCATTTTTTTTTTTTTTAATGTTTAGTAAATATATTTATTTTATATAATATGCCTTTAGTCAGGATTTTTTCTTAGTGAAATTTTTTTTTTTTTGATAATCATATTTATGTTTAATTTAATTATGATTTATTTATATTAATGATTTATTAATAAAAAAGATTTTTTTATATATTATATTATTTATTTTAAATATTTTTATTTATATTTTCTAATATTTATTTTTTTATTATATATTTTGAATTCTGTTTGTTAAATACTTAACAAAAAATATAAATAATGTTCTTTGAATATTTATTATTTAATAATCATTGTGTAAAATAATTTAATATTTCAACTAATAATTATATTTTTATTAAGTGCTTTAATTAAATATAAAAATATAATTTATTTTATTTTTATATAATTATTTATTTAGAGAAAAAAAATATATATATATACAATCTTTTGTTAAATTATTCATAATATAAATTTGTTAGTTTAAATACATAAATCAATAAAAATATCTTTTATTTTTAATTAATAAATAGATATATTTATTAATATGATTTTTTATATATCTAAATTATAAATTTCTGTTATTAATATTAATAATAATTAAATTTAATATATATTATAATATGTTATATATTATTTTTATTTTTTGAAAATTATTTAATTAATATAATATATCATATAAATATTTAATTATCAAAATCTAAAAAATATTTTTTAATTTATAATTTAATAAAAATATTTGAAATATTTAATAAATTTTGTGATTAATATATCATGATAATAATTAAAAAAATAATGGAAATATATATTATT